TAAATGCTTCCAAGAGCATTAATACTGGGCTAAACAAATACAAGCATTTCAGAACATATTTGTGGAGGTCTAGACTTCAGGATGAGCTGATTTTTTAAAATACATTTTACATTTACGTACATTTTTACAGGGGGAATCATGTCACTTAAAGAACTGTAGTCATCAACTGTGACCATTGAAACTATGATTTAGTTTCCATTGCTGTAAATCTAGAACAGTAATATAATATAATATACTTTTACATAAATGCAATCTTACAAAGCTTGTAAGAAATAATTCTAACCATTTTTCCTATGTTATGTCTGCCCCCAGTCAGGATAGGGAAGCTGAAGAGGCGGAAAGAAGATGGACAGGTAGTTTTTCTTGATGTTTTGATGTTCACTGATATTTATATGTAGCATTTTGTTTTATGGACTTTTACAATGGATCATGATCAGGTACCACTGCTGTGACTGCCTTTGATCATGTGGCATTAGGATCACTGTCAGGCCAATGTGTATCCATGTGAACATGCCAGTATAAATCATAACTCAGAAACATGGAGGTTAGGCCAGACAGACATATTGAACCTGAAATCTGATGTTGTGTTTTAGGAGGTGCCTGTGGAGCTCATGTCTCCAGAGGAGGAGTGGGCGGAGCGCAGGAGGGTCCACATGGCATCTGTTGTGGGAGGATTCAAAGGTACAGTTATATGTGACGCTACCCACTGAAGAGCTGTAATTGTGAGTGAGAGGCTCTTGGAAATGCACTGAACCTTTCAGCACGGATTTTTCAGTGCACTGCTTCCAAGTGAGAGTAATGCTTAAACAGATTCATTATGAAAATAATTTAATATTTTTAGATTTCTGCTTCAGCTGGTCTGAGGAGAGTAAAATATATTAATCCAATCTAATAAAAAAAACAAAAACAAAAAAAAACTAGTCGGTTTTCTATAGATGATTTCTCACTGCTTATCACCCATGTGGAAAGTCCTATCACCTTGGTATTAAATGTTTTTACTTAATACAATATAATAGTCAGTTAATCTACAACCTACAATTTTTCCTCATTTACAATCTTACAAACATACAGTTTTGTACTTTGTAGGAGTTCAAAGAAAATATGTGTTATTTTGCAAATTTCATGAATAAAATGATAAAATCTCCCCTTTGTGCCTTGTTAGGTTCGGTGTTAGTGAGTACATCAACAAAAGACTGTCGAGACAGTGATGCCGACCTGGATGTGGACGGAGATGACACTCTTGAATATGGCAGAGCACAGTATCCTTCCTAACATGTAAATTAAGATGAAAAATATTAATATTTGTCTTCTAATAAAAAATATTTTCATTTTATACATTAGACTTAGATATTAATTGTCCCAAAGCAGATTTCCTTAATGTTTCTTTTAGATACACTGAGACAGATGTAATTCCATGTTCAGGGGAAAGTTCAAAAGAAATAACCTCAACAAAGTAAGATATTCAGTATTAAATCTCAAATTTAAGTCTTATTTATTATTTACTATTGATATTTTCATTTTCAGTAGTGGCATGGCGGCCGATTCCCGGCTGAATCAGGACTTCCCACAATGGTCAAATGAGGGTAAGACCGCTGGAGCTACTCATGCTCTCAGTAACACTGAGTCAATATTAAGTATATGCTGAATTATGTCTCTAAAATTTTAAACTGGTCTAAACAGGAAGCCCATCCACCAGCAGTGGAGACAAAGCAGATGGCAGCTCTGGATCTCCCCCTAAAACCTGCAAAAACAGTGAACTTGAAACGTAAGTAAACCCCCTCTCAACATATACAGCAACTCTCATGATAATAGACCAACATGCATTTGAATTATGCTGTTAAACATGCTGTTTAAAAAATAAATTAGTTTGACTTAAAGACCTAAAAGGTTCCGTTTACATATATTATTCATTATAATTCAAAATAAGATCACATATATAAACATAAAAGATACTTCATTATTTTAAAAAGAAAAAAACAACACAAATTTAATTTAATTTTTTCAGTGTTACCATCCCCCTCTGTAAAATCTTTAGCTCCTTGTTGTTGTCATAGCAGTTATTTTTTGGTGTTTGTATTTCTCTATGCGGGTCTGACATGGCCCCCACCCACCCCCAAGTGTATGATAAACGAGACAGCCAATGCAGCCAATGTAATTGCTGCTAAATTTCATGCTCAGTGTCCATGTTGCCCTGCGAATAATTTAATGTCTTGGATTTATAAATGACTGTTATGTGGCCTCCCTCACACCCCTCTGTCTGTCCCACACATGTGTAGGATCACAGCAGACTCCTCACTGATGACGCTGGACGCACTTAAGGCTCGGATACGAGAACTGGAGAAGCAGCTGTCAAAAGGAGACAGATTCAAGTGCTTAATTTGCATGGTGAGAATCGCACTTATCTTAACAGGACAGTCACAAACTACTCCATTTTAAACCTTGTGTTAGAATTAGACGTTAGTTAGTATTGCAGCAAAACCGTAGGCTGTTTATTTAAAGCGCATATGACTTAATTTGGTAGGATTATAACTATTGTGAATATAATATATAATATAAGTTTTACACCAATCAAGTAGCTATTTGAGAGTTGAAATATGTTGAAAATTACAGGAAGTAGAGAGTTCTAAAACACACTGACGACATTGCATTAGGGAGAATTCTATCCAAAAGTTAGGCACAATTGACATGCAAGAAACCATTTTTTTCTGATACTTTAAACATGATTTCAACTAAATAAATGTATTTTCTAATATTTGTATTTGTCAGATAATCATTTCTGTGTAGGTTAGAGGAGTTTTACTGGGTAACAGTTGTTTATCTCCCTAGTGTGATGTCAGGATTTTCAAACAGGAAGTCAGATTTTAAACCTAAAAATTGGCCAAACTGGGAAAACGAATATAGTGGTCTTAGTCTAACCTGTCATAGGCACTTTAACTAACTTCGCCAGTGGGGCAGCAGTGGCTCTAGTGGAGCTAGTTCGGCCACATTGCCTAGTATACTTTATGAATGTGAGTCAGTCTACCCCAGGGCAGCTGTGGCTACAGTACTAACTTACCACTAACTTACCACTACAGAGTGTGAAGTGAATACATAATGCAGTGTAAAGCACTCTGGGTGGCTTCTTGTTATTATTAAGGAGTTTTGCTGTAAATTTTTCCTCATCTAGAAAAACTTTATGTCTGACTTGGTTATGTTGTGAATGTGACTTCCTGTGGCCCTCTAGTGGCTCCCTTGTGTATTACACTGATACGTCTTTTTGTGTGGTCAGGATACATACACCACTCCACTCACTTCCATCCAGTGCTGGCACGTTCACTGTGAGGAGTGCTGGCTCAGAACATTGGTAAGAGAAAAACAATAAATATATAATAAATAATAAAAAAGGAGATGTGAGCTAATTTTAAAATCTGCAATGTATGTTTTAGGGAGCTAAGAAGTTGTGTCCTCAGTGCAACACCATCACCTCTCCAGGAGACCTAAGGAGAGTGTACCCGTGATGCAGACCCAATCAGCTAATCAGGAGAAAGGGGGCGTGGCCTCGTGGGCAGCTGGTCTGTCTTTGACCATCACCCTTCAGTCCATTCCACACAAACCTATGTGATCTAATACTATGTACAGTTTCAATGTCAAAGCAACACAAGCAAGAAGAACTCAGGCAAACTTATGCTTTGGGACAATAATTAATAATTTTGTAACTATTTTGTGCGTTTTATCTGAAGAGATTTGCTGCAAAGCACATGTACATATTTTGTGTTTCGAGTGATGTGTGATACTGGTCTTTCCCTCAGTCACTGATGTTTAAGCTATCTGTAGTTTGACAGTAACATTATCAGGCTGTTTCATCATTGATTTTTTTTTTTTTTTTTTTTTTTGTAAAGTACGAGTAATTCTAATTTTATCAATGTCACTAAAATAAAGTGTCTGAAATGGGAAATCATATCTAATTCTGTTTTGTGTAGTCCACTTTGTTTTGTTTTGTAAGCATGACAAGTTAATTAAAAACATTTAAAAGAAGATATTACAATAGATTTTTTTATAATTTGTTTTCCTTTACACTTAAAACTCAGTCCCAACTTGAAGATACACAATGTAACTTCTCTTATGGAAGGTCCACCACCTGCCTGTCTCCATGGAGATGTTATTGCATTGCCTGAAATGTTGCACAGCATGGCACTAAGCATTCATCTTGAACAGGTTTAATATTCAGCTGTGTTTTTATTGCTAAACAACACCTTGAAAAACAAGCATGCATTCTTAGCGGGCTCCCCTGTCCACAGATCGGACCTGTTTCTTGGCCTGGTTGTGTCCTCTTTGTCAGTTGCCTGTCTCCATGAAACCCTCCTAAACCTATACATGCACAGAGATTACCTTGTGTGACCTCAAAGGCATGACCAAAGCAAGGGTGCATGCTCAAACCTCATTGGTCGGTGAGTTGACGTAAGGAGGGATAATTTGGATTGACAGTGATCTTCCTTTAGAGTGGCACACAAACACAAACAACACACTTCAGTAACAGGACTGACCCAAGACTCATCTGATACTCACTGATAGAAGAGAGGAGGTAAGGACCTACTTTTTCATTCAGTGATGGTCACGATGTCAAATATTATGGATATCCATAAGGCTAAAATGTATATAACTGCAAAAATATTGTGTTATTAATACTGTGCTAAACTAATACAAGAATCATACTTAATTTCAGAACATATTTGTAGCAGTCTAGACTTCCAAGATTAGCAGATTGGAACAATGCAAAGTTTTATTGGTAAAACTGCACTGCACGTACATGTGTAAATGCAATTCAGCAAAAAAAAACAATGGATGTATTTTGAAACAAAAAAATACAATGCCCAAATAAATTCCAAGTTAAATGCTTTATCCACTGAGCCACAGGATTCTTTTGCAAACTACTGAAATGACCACTGTACAATCACATAATGAGATGTACCTCTTTTAAAGTAAATTTATAATCAAATTACCAATACCAGTTGATACTGAAACTAAAACATCATTGTCTGCTAAAAGCTCAGTGCGTAAATGGGTCACCTACCACATACCACAATTAATGCTAAAACTGACCTGTAATGATTCACATAATTAACCATTTCAATTCCTGACCCATGTTGAATCTATATAATAGATTAATTAAAACATGATTTTATGCTGAGGAAGAACAACGGTATTGTCTTTTTCAATGATGTCTTTTAACTCTGGCATTTAAGAGGAGCTTGGATCAAAGGGATTACATGGACTAACAGGATCCATGGTAGGCTTTAGTGAGCCACAGCATGTAATAGGTCAATGTAGTGATTAGGGTGACCACCACAAAGTGTAGAAAAAGGGGGACACGTTATGGAATGTGGTGGGAAATTTAAACTCATAGATAATAACTGCTAAAACATCATATGATCTCTAGTTTTGATGAGACTGAGATTGGAATAACACTGAAAACCACTAAACCCAAAAAGATTTCATTACAAGAATATATGACACTATTTTTATAGTATGTGGCATTATTGAAAAAGTGGAACATTTTCTAAATAAGGGGGACAAGGGAAAGGGTTATAAATGGCAATCAAAAGAAAAACAGTTAACCCTAGCAGTGTTCACTTAAGTTCTACTGAAAATCCCATTTTATATGATCAGTTTCAGAGCCATGTCCAGACCTAGGCCCGTGGTGCTGAGTGGCCCGTCCGGAGCAGGGAAGAGCACCCTGATGAAAAGGCTGATGAAGGAGCATGAAGGGCTGTTTGGGTTCAGTGTGTCCCGTAAGTGTATAAAACAATACCATAAAAAAACATAGCATATAAAAACATTCAGTATGAGATACAGTTTATGGATATTGTTATTAATAATTTGTGAAATTCCATGCAAGGCCCGTAGCTGTAGATGTTTATGTTTATGAAAGCCAGCATTTTTCTGGTCACACTTGGGACTACAGAAGACATCAGTACAATTGTAACAACCAGGGGTACATTTAGGATTCTTTTAAATAAACTAAAATTTAACTGGGTTCCACATGTATATCTTTTCTGTGAGATGAAAGTCAATGATTATGTCATACATTATTATGAAATTTGTTACCATTTGTAACTATGGGCCAATGCCGAGACTTTTATACATCATACAGCCACATTTATACAACTGTGCCTCTACAAACAGAAAGTAACATTTGAAAGTTGTTTTTACAGACACAACCAGAAATCCAAGGCCAGGAGAGGAGGACGGAAAAGGTAATCTAAAACTTGCCCTTTGGTGAGATTTTAGATCAAATTGTAAACGTGATGTTTGTGAATGTCCCTCAGATCTATGCCACCCCTTGTGTGGCGCTCCATGGAAACACACTCCCACACTTCTTACTCCCAAGTGAACTGCACCAATGGTCTTGTGACTGTCCCACTGTTCTGGAGGGTTAAACCTCTGTGTGCCTGTCTATGCTTTCTCCATAGGGCTGAACAAGCTCCCTATGCTTCTGGGTGCTACATTACTGCCGGTAGCAGACGTCTTTTCCTCTGAGGAACTAGAAAACTCATTTTCGTGTCCAAATGAATCAGAATCCACAGATACAGGTGACCGGAGCAATCAAAAGATGAGAGATGGGGGTTACTTTCAGGATCCTGGCATGCCGATTATGTTTAAAAATGATGTCAAACTTTAAAGAAAATATTAAATCAGTCAGTCTACACTTTGGAGTAACAAGCTTTTGAAAATAGCCCCCTGTGATTCCTCAATAGTTACCCTTAACTATTCCCATTAGAATAAACCTCTTTGTATTTCCTACTGGTGATTGTTTTACAAACCGATTAACTGACATCACATTCATATAGCCACAAATATCTCTTCTAAATTAATGACAACACTACCACAGCTTTGAGCCTGGTTTGCACCACCAGAATCCAACATGGAGCTGTACTAATGATTGTGCACCCATTAGCCCAGAGCTAGCAGTAGCAATTTGTTTGTGTCAAACTTCTGTGCCTATAGAACTGTGTGGATGTGTAGTCTTTTGATGTAAAGCTCCCTTACAGGGCAACAGCGTAAAACTGCTATCACTCATTATCTGTGTGTATATGTATACAGTATGTTTATATAATTACCATGATACTGAAATGCCCATCAATTTAATTTGAAAAAATTATTGGTCATTTTTAAAACGTTAAACTTACTCAAAATTACTCCACATCTGTCTGTTGTTAGTGTTACATATTTTGTTTATGTCTGAAGTTCTTATCATTTCTGGATGTTACAGACTACCACTTTACAACAAAAGAGGCCATGAAACAAGGAATTGATAATGGGGACTTCATAGAAAATGCAGAGTTTTCAGGCAACATGTACGGAACAAGGTAAATGCTGTTTTTTGTTTTTATTGAAAAAGATTCCTGCAGTTGACCTGCAGCTGTCGTAGTTATAACGAGCAGTAGCTCAATGCCTGCAGAATTCGAGTTAAATAACAAAGTGCTGATGGCCCGGCCTCAGGGATCAGAGTCACACGTAATGGTCTGGTGACAGATGGAGCTTTAAACTCCCAGAGGTCAAAGAGAGCAGCGCTGTGGCTCAGCGCCTTCTGTGTCATCTCTAATCTCTCACCATTCTCAAGAAACACGCATCTGAGCAGCAGTGCTGCTAACTGACTTACTACAGTAAACTAGAACATATTTACTGGTCACACTAAAACAACCCATGCCCTTAAATATATATGAAGCTGAGCTACTGTCCCTGTATTTAACAAATCTTTTACTTCCTTTCAGTAAAGCTGCAGTAGAAGATGTACTGGCCAAGAATGTAATCTGCATCTTAGATGTGGATATCCAGGGAGTGAGAAGAATTAAAGAAACAGACCTGAACCCTATCTACATCTCTGTTCAGCCGCCATCCATGGAGATCCTGGTAAATCAATACCAACATTATTTTGTTTAAATAAGAGAAGTTTTTGAAGATATCGCTCTCTCAGGAAAAGCGCCTTCGGGACAGGCAGACAGAGACAGAGGACAGTCTACAGAAGAGACTTGAAGCAGCGCGCATCGATATGGAGCTCAGTGAGTTCAGACTGAGGCTCATATGGCATTGTTCAGTTACAATGGGAGTTAAAGGTCTTTTCTAATGTGTGCAGGTAAAGAGGATGGACTTTTTGATGTGGTGATCATTAATGACGACTTAGACAGAGCCTATGAAGAACTCAAAGACATCCTCAGTGAGGTGAGCCTCAAACCACTATTAATACTGACACTAATGTCAATGCAATACAAATGCAATGTGTATTTATTCAACAGGAAATCACAAAGGTCCAAAAGGCACAGTCATAACTGAATACATCTCCACTTCTGAGAAAGACCAACGCACGAGACGAATACCACTGACTGCATTTAAATGCATTTAAATACATTTAAACACATTTAAACACATGCTTCCATAAAGCCTGATATTCAGAGGGAGAAACAGAGAGAAAACTGAATGATAAGAGAACAAAGAGAACAAAGTGTATTTGTGTTAGACTAGGACGTCAAATGGACAGTATCACATAGTTCTACACATATTCAAAGGGACAAATAAGGGACAAATGTGGATCACTTTATAAGATCTCACGCCTACAGGTAAAATACACAGTGAACAAAAGGGCTGATTAGAATAGTACTCATGGTACTCATTATAAGACAAAACATGCACTTGTGTTGTGTTGAAAATAAGATAAACCTGATTATTTATACTTGAAATGTGTATGAAATGTGTGTGTGTATAAACAACTGAATAAAACAGTGAAGCGAGTTACAGTGTTCTAAATCTTTAATTATGATCTCATCCTGTACTTTTAACTCTTTTAACTATTTCACAAAATCAAAATTCTCCATTTTGCATAACTAATCCACTCATCACTGTATGTCTAAGTAAGAGGAACTAAAAACTCCCAACATTTGTCTGCAATTTCAAACAACACTCAAAGCTAAACTACTACATAATTAGTTTTAACCAGATTAAATAAAATAGAAGGCACACAAATAACTAAATCCTAAAAAGGACAGTGGCTTAAGACACCATTCCCCAACGCGACAGAGAAACGCCACATAGTGAAAAGGTTAAAGTATACCTTAACCTTAAACCCAAGTTATATTTTGACACTTTTGGTGGTCTTACTGGAAGAAGGGCCCCTGGAGCTTGGTGCGAACCTGGTCTCGTTTCTCCTCCTTCTGACTAAGGTAGGACTTCAGTTTGTCGGTGGAGAAGCACACTTTGGAGTGTCTGCCTTTGAGGATTCCACGATGAGCTCGCAGCCAGGGGTTCTGGAGGCACTCAGCTGCAGTTGGCCGAGCCCTGTACAAGACAATAAACAATATTGTCCGTGTAATCCCTCTGTCATCCAGGTAGGTTCCATCGCAAAATGTATTTAAATTCTTTAAAATGGACAAAAGTTTGTAAAGGTGAAAACAGTCAAAGCACTTTACAGTGCAGTACTGTATTCATTCTCTCTACACTCAGTGGTGGTAAACTACTATTGTAGCCACAACTGCCCTGGACCAGACTGACAAAACAAGGCTGCCAATCTGTGGCATCGGCCCTTCCCACTACCACCAACACATCACACTAGGCAATGTTGGTGAAGTGCCTTGCCTAAGGACGCAATGGTGTTTATCTACAATGTTCTGTGCCAAGAGCTGTACACCTTTTTTTAGTTATGACCCCCATAAAAACAACACTTGGCATTCTCAACCCCCTTGGACATAGAAATGGGCTACCCACAAATTTACAAAAAATCCAGCTGCATTTCAGTGGTGTCAAAGCCTAGTGGCATAAGTTTTCAATCTGGGAACAGTTTGAGAATTACAGTACTTACCAGGATTTGTGGTTCAAAGTGCTTTTCATGAAGTTTAGCGCCCCCTCTGACAGACCAGGGTAACAGTGTCCAAACTGGATTTTTCCTTTTTTTATGTTTCTGTCCTGCTCCCAACCAAGCTCTGCATAAAATGGGGTGTCAGCACTGAGCCTGAAGAGGGAGAAACAGCTTTACAAATCTGTGAATTGATTTTTTGTCAAATATTGTGCATTTTTCTTACATCATAAATGACAAAACTCCAATGGCCCAGATGTCAGTTTCAGGTCCAACCCCTTGACCTTCCAGGATCTCAGGAGCTTTAGGTAGAACAATGTAAACTGATAAAAACAAAAGACACATTATTACAGGTAGTGTTAGGTAATTACATTAGTGGTGAGTCTGTGAGTAAGAATGAAGTGGAAAAAATGGACTTGGGTTTGTTAGGTGATGGTGCTATGATCAGCAGGGGAAGCCTCGGTTATGGGGTTATTCCACTCCATCACTCCTGTGTACCTTTCCTGCGGCAGTCTGTTGAAAGCCATGGGAAGTTTAGTATATTAAAAAGCCAGGTTCAGCTTTTAAATTAATCCTAAACATAGGGCTGGGCAATTAACTGAATTTAGTTGAGGTTCAGTCATGTCTAGGTGTGGGTCTTTTAATTGAGATCTACAGCCACTCAAATGTCTGTAAAAGCATGTGGTTTTGGAGCATCTACTTCCTGTATTAAATAGCATTGATTAAAAGTCTGTCTTGTTTATCTTTACTAAATCATTGCCCAGCCCTACCTAAACATTGTTAAGTTTATTTTTCAGGATACCTTTACTCTCTGAAACTCCATGTATGTGCTCTACATGGACAGGCTGGCCCGGTGTAAAGGAGAGGGCTGAACCAAAGTCCACGATCTTCAGATGGTCACAGTCGTCCACCAGCATGTTGTCAGATTTCAGGTCCAGATGAATCACGCGCCGTCCGTGAAGATAATCCACTGCACTGAGAATCTGAACCAACAGCTCAGCCACATGGGATTCTGCATACAGGTCTCTGAAACATAGCAGCCATTGTTGCTCATACACACTCACAGTGTGGTGAAGAGCCTTTCATAGTGAATATATCCAGCTTTAATGTTAGACAAAAAAGTGTACATCCAAGTCAATAAAGAAATTAGGATTTTTTTTGGCAATAACTAAAGTGCAAAGCCACTTTATTTGTAATTTATTATGTATTTTAATGAAACTAAATCAAATTAAATAATCCACTGTCATGTAATCATAAAGAGATACCAAACCCAGGCCTAGTTTTAGTGAGTAAAGTTAGTATTTACAGTTCATATTTTTAAATCATAAAATAAAACCTTTAGTACCTGGCAGCCAGACTATACAGCAGCTCTTTTCCTGGGCAGAGTTCCTCCACTAGAACCATGTAAGTGGCCGTCAAAAAGGCCATGTGTAACGGCACCAGGTTGTAGTGGTTCAGTCTTCTTAGAAGCTGGTATTCCCTCAGAACCAACAGCCGCTGTTCAGGTTTGTACGGAGTGATTTTAGCAGCAAAAACCTGACTGGTCTCAACATCCCTGCAAACTGTGAGGACGCTAAAACGACCCCTGAAAAACAAGTTAATAATGTAAAACATAAAATGCTCAAGGAAAGGAAGTAAATATGTCAAAATAAGTAAATATGTAAATATGTCAAACCAATAACTGTATTACTGATAACAAGTGTAATGCTGATTTATTCAATATTTTTAAAAAAAAAATTATATGTTTCAAAAGTTATTTATGTTTATATTTTTACATTTTCATTTTGTTTCTCCAGCTAATTATCCAATCAGAAAGAAGAATGAGCCCCTCACTTTGTGTTGCCAGATCTTTCAGCTAAAACCAGTTTGCAATGCAACCAAAATGGCACTCCATTATATGATACATATTAAATTCCGTTGTGACTGTAATGCAGTTTTTGCAAAGTTTAAATGTTTTTGAAAATAACTGCCCATATTTCTCAAAAATGTACCTGTTGATTTCTGATAAAAAGCTGAAATTCCTGTGCATTAACTGCTGTCCCGTGCCCTTTGTCCCCAGCAGATCCGTGCAAATCAGGGGAATGTGCGTCTCTGTTTGAACATGAATAAAGTAGTGTGATTATTTGTGCGACATGCATTTAAATCTGTGATTAAAATAAAACATTATTAATTTAAAGTATGTTTTTAATAAGTCACCTTCAGGATGAGTTGACATTACTACAGGGACCGAGGCCTCACTGAAGGGCCCTGCTCCTGCCTTAGTGACACAGCCCACCCTAAACACATATGATGCCCCCCGAGGTAAATCTGTAACCGTGTAGCAACAGTCAGTTTCCTCATCTGTCAAAACAGTCCACACACCTCCTGTAGACATAAAATAAACGTTAGATATACTTTGCCTTTCAAATACATTTTGGATTAAAAACATTTAATTCAGTTTCGCTTACTGTCTGAGCAGCACTGTACACAGTAAGTGAATGTATCATTGGATTGCACTGGTTTCCATACCACCAAAACACCACCTCTATCCAGCCGGACTACTTCTGGTTTATGGGGACGCACTGCCAGCAAATAATAACAAATTAATCACAATAAATTATAGGGCTGCAAAAGAACAGAATATAGGTGAAGCTGTACCTTTTGGCCTTTTGAAGGCAGGAATTTTCAAAGAAGTTAGCAACTTTTTTCTTTTGGGGACCTCAAGACTGTTGCCATGTTTTAATTCTGGTGTACTTGGAGCTGATCCTTTGAAAACAGGCCCTAGATGGATTACAAAAAGTAACTGTACCACAGTTCTCAACTTGGGAAAAAAGGGTTCAGTGTTCAATATTTGTATGAAATAAGTATAATTTGATCAACAATAAAAAATTTTAGCTACTCGCGGCGATGATGACCTTTGCCCCAGCGTGCACACCCCTCCCATGCAACCACACTGACTATTGTCCCGTCCCAACAGCTTCTCAGGCCCACAGATCCTCCATCAGAATAATTACACCTTTAAATGTTTTTTAGGAGTCTTTGTGCCCCTGTTGACCAATGTGAAAAATGCCCCATGTCTGTAATATATTTTTGTAGCCATTCATAGAATACCCAAATTTGATATAAATTTGATAATGCTGACATTTTATGTCTCATGTTGGTAGGGGGCACTATAGTTTTTAGATGTATTAGACTTCATAATCCATTAGATTTAGGCTGGGATCATGCAAGAAGCCATCAAAAGACACAGGAAATTAAGGTGTTTTTCGCCGGGCAAACCATAAAAACTGAAATTTTTTGTGAATCTATGTCTCTAGATGTGACACACCAAATCTGAGCTCATACCCGGTTTGGGAAGTTTTTCATCCATGTTCAGGGGGTGAAAAAGATGATTTCGTACCAAAAAAAATTAAAAATACACCATTAAAAAGTTATGATTAAATACGCACCTCCTTTACTCATGTCCTCCTTTGACCTGGAGAAGAGCTTGGTCAGACTGGAGGCAGACGCTCTCATCTTCTTCCTCAGTGACATTGTGGGCGTGTCCGGCTTCATGATCTCTCCTAAAGTTGGACCCAGACCTGAGTCATCCAGCTGAGAGTAGGAGTGCCCAGTCCAAGACTGTCTCCGGAAAAGCTTAAAAAATCCCAGTTTAGGGGACCTCCCTGGGGATGGCTGAACCTCTAAGGCAGGAGCCGAAGCATGTCTCTGGAGAGTGTGGCTGTCCTTTTTGTCTTTTGCTCGCGGAGGTCTGTCTGGAGCTTGCAGTGAGGAAAGACTCGGGCTTGGACTGGGCTGTGGGGTGGAGTTTAGACTTTGGTTTGAACGGGAGCGGGTTCGAGGAGGAGCTTTTGGTTTAACCACATGATCCAGCTCTTGGAAGGAACCAGCAGAGGATGACACTAGAGGCTCAGCTTGATCATCAAAGCCCTCACTCGCTGCAGATCTTGTTCGTAAGTGATGGAGATCCTCAAAAGATCCTAATCTACTTGAAGAATCCGAACCATGCTCCATAACTAAAGATTCAGCTAATGAACCTTGTGAGCTACATAAGGTCCTGTCTGCGAGGGGTTGGCCAAGTATGGGACTTGTCTTCTCTTTGGCTAAAACACGAGAGGCTACAGTTGTATTAGGATGTGACACTTGCACTGGAGCAGCTGATCCTCGTCTTCTTGGACTGGGAATTCCTAAAAACTGTTTGCCTGTCCCTTCATCTTCAGTTAAATCCTCTTTTAAACTGTGAGAGCCCTCTTCATCCTCCCCTGGAGTGCTGTGTACAGGTGAGCTGGGAGATCTACGAGAATAGTTGTCAAGGGAACGGCTTCTTCTGTGTGGTGGGACATTTGCCTGTGGTAGTCCAACGCCACTATCAAAAGAGCAAGATTTCTGCATTGAAGTCTGGATAGATCCACGCCTTTGTCCACGGCTGGTGTCTGTCTCGTCCTCCACATATTCTATCAGTGGTTCATTCAAACGGCCTGAGAAACTCCTCCTAAGTGGTTTGCGACCTCTCTCTTGCTTTTTTGCTTGGAATTTGTCCCGTAATGACATGTGCCTGGCGGACATTGGCGAGAGCTGTTGCGATGTAGTGTAAAAGGTGCTTCGGATAACACTGCCCCTTGGAATACGCCCCCCTTCACTCCCTGAGCCTTCATCTCCATCTGATAACACTGATGGTGAGCTGTCTTTGCTGAATTTTCGCTCTCTCTGTGGTGTGTAGAGCAACGATGTGTCTGAAGAAGCCGCTGACTGCCTGCTCATACTCCTCTCCATTACAGTCCTGCCTCCCATGATCTCTCCATCCTCTTCTTCTCCAAATGTGGCCTCCTCTTCCTCTTCTAAATGCACTCTACTGAAAGGCTTGGGTATCTGCGATCTCTCCACCATAGGATCATAGTCCTCCTCAGTCTCCTCCTCTTCCTCTGTTGGGCTGTGGTGTTGGAAGAAGTCCCATGTGTCAGCTTCATCGTACTCAGAGGACGAACTGCTGACGGAAGTGCTGCTGTCGTGGGGCTCTCGGGGCACAGTGACCGCGGTCTCCCGAAGAGGAGCGTCCAGCAGCTCCGGGATGGGCCTTAGGGTGAGCACAGAGCCCACACAGGTCAATGAGCGCTGGGAGGAAAACACGAGACAGGGAATGGTTAATGGATTGCTTAATTAATTAAGCTTTTTGTTTGGACAGATTTAAACATGAAATGGGGGTGTTAATGGTACATTGTGTAACTTTTGTGGTGGAGGGTCGGCCAAATGCTTTTCTCCATGAAGATGTTATTGCTCTGTCTGGAATGTAGTGAACATTCCAAACAGAGCAATGACATATCAACAGAAACAAGCAAGTGATGAACCCCAAACCAAAAAGTTCATCCATATAGTTTGTAATGTAAAATAATACATGTTTTTCAGACACTGACCTGCCACTTCCTTTTAGACAGAAACACTTTCAAAGTTCTTGTGTTAATTTCATCGGTATCCTCTCCTGTGTGGTCGTCCTGTTATGTATAACCATGTTACAATGACGCAGGAAAGAAAATAAGTATAAATTTTGTGTTAATATTTTCTTACCTGGAACCACTCATGACTCAAGCACTCAAAAGCAGATGGTCGTTTGCTGTAACAAACACAAAGTAAAAAAAAAAATATGATCAATGATAGCATAAAATAAAATATTGATCTAGCTAACAATCCATGGACGTTTTTCCTACTCAGGGTCAGACTGAAGAACCATGTGAAGGAAGTGCTGGGCCTCTGGACTTCTGAGCAACACATCTGGGGCGTCCCAGTTGAGGGTGCCTTCCCCCACCTTCAGCAGAGTGGCACGGTCAGAATCTCCGGTGAAAGGGCATCGACACACCAGACTACAAAAACAAATATATTTATTCATCATAAAATCATCAAAGCACAAGCCAATTTTGTAAATGATGACAAATACATACCACAGGAATGCAATCACACCCACAGACCTGGCATAAAGAAAGAGTTAAATAATTATGTGCTTTAATAATTATGTTGACCACAAAGGTAATTACCAAAGATAAAACATACCAAATATCTGTGGCCACGCTGACGGGCTCTTGGTGAACAATCTCTGGAGCGACAAACTCTGGTGTCCCGTACATACTGTAGAGATGTCGGGATGTGTCTATTTCCTGACAGAAGCCAAAGTCGCAGATCTTGATCTCATCTCTTGGAGGGTACACCATTAGTATATTTTCAGGCTGTTAATAACAAAAGAAGTTTAAATGAAGACACAATGTGAAAAACACAAATTTACAAACCAAACTTTACCTTGATGTCCAGATGCAAGATGTTCATGCTGTGAATGTGGCCAATTGCTTCCAAGATCTGTTGAATATATGACTGAACCTGCAACAGATTAGGAGTCATCAGACTTGTCTCATATTTAGAGAACTATTTGTGAACTGTACCTCATTTTCTGTAACTGATCCTCTCATATACAAATGGTCCATAAGTCCGTGAGAGCAACACCTGTCAGTGAAATTGAAAAACAGATATGATATGAGTTGGATGATAAAGGATAAATATTCTAAGAGGAAACACAAGTCTTACATTTCTGTGATCAGCACCAGAGTGCGTCTGGTGCAGAAGAAATCCAGCAGACAGGCCACTCTGGGGTGAGCCAAACGAGACAGAAGGTCCCTCTCCTGGAATGCCCTTGTGCGAGTGCTGCTTTTCAGAGGTAAAAACTTGGCAGCAAATACCTCTCCTGTTCTTCTGTGAATGACACGCTTCACCACGCTAAAAGTTCCCCTATTTCATATAAGAAATTATGTCACTTTTTTGTACTTCTAAGTTGCATACACATATAATTAGGTTGCATTCACACATGTCCTGTCGTAGTTCTGGGTTTAGTCCCAGTTTAGTCCTAGTTGAACGTACTCATCCTTACACAATGCAATTTAGTGATAATCATTTTACCTTCCAATTTCCTCATGAATGTCATAGACAGAGAAGAGCTTTCTTCTCTTGCCTAGCTCCACCTCTCTCTCCTGAGACTCAAGCAGACCTAAAGCATTGGAGTAATGGTTCAGTGCAGCACCTAATCCCAATTTACTGACCTGCCATTTTCTAATCAATAAGAATGTCTCACCTTCGACCACTGTGAGCTGGGCCTGACATAAGACCTGACCAGATTCATTGTACGCAAAACACGTGTATATTCCACTGTCCTCTCCTTCAGGACACACTATAGTCAGAGAGCAACGTGCTCCATGTTGGACGATTTCTACATTATCATTGGCCAGAAGCTCATCTTCATCCTTCAGTCAGACAATAGAAGAGATTATAATACTTTTGATGGCCCTAGTGTATTATTAAATATACACACCTTATACCACTTGATGCTTGGACCAGGTCTCCCTGTGATGATGGCAGTGAATGTAGCAGTTTGACCAGGCTCCACAGACAGATCCTCGATAGGAACCTGAACACAGGGCGGAGCTGCACAGAAAACAGCATATGTGTGAATAAAGGCACATTTGATAATATCAATTAAGCAAATTGACACTTAACCATCAGTGATTTCCTGCATGGGCTCTGAAACATAGATCTCTTCCTCAATCTCTTCAAGGTAGTACAAAGGCTGCTCTGCTCTTTCATCCACCAATGCTGATGTAGGAATGTCTTCTGCAGGGCTTCTTCTACTGAGAAAACCATATTATCAGAAGAATAATATAACATGTATAATATTACAGAATAAAACTCACTGATCCGATTCAGATGGAACAAACATCTTAACAACAGAAGTGGGGGCGAAATCCGTCTGTAACCATTTATTAACGAAGGCAGTAGACCAACCCTCAGAGTCAGCATCTATAAAAGAAAATTCAGTTGTATCAAACATCACATTTCATTTACATTGTGTTAATTGAGGTTTATGGTTGATTTCTGATGCTGTACATTACCTGACATCTCCAAAGTTTTATATCTTACCTGATCAGGACATTTAAAGAAACCACAACCACCAGGAAGTGGTAGAGCACATAACCATCTTGTATTCGGAGTGAAGAGTTAGCTGGGCATGCGTTGGGAGGAGAAAGTGGATGTGGAATGGTTATTTGTTAACTGTGAAAATGACTTACATGAGATGGTCCATGATAGGTGCTTCCTGCTTTCAGGGGGAAGATGGACAAAATGAAAGTTACAGACAATGAAAGAGAATGAACGAAACACTGCATAGATTCTATTTAAAAAAAATAATAATAATAATAAATAAATAAATAAATATAATAAAAAATAGGTATCTTCAAATATTAGATTCCAAGACATAAACGTGCAGGCAAAACAAGAACCAGTAAAAACTGAGAAATAAATATGTCTTTTAAAATGAGAAACACCTATTACCAGATAAATGAACCTTGCTCAAACAAAATCAATGTCTACCAAACACAGACAAATTCACTTCAACCTCTATCATAAAACGTATCATACTCCACACAGGCTATGCAAATTAGGAAAGGGTATTATAGATCATTGTCAAAGATGTTACATTTCCATTGTGTCAAATTGCAATCCTTCTGGAATTACATGATCAGGATCATCTCTGATGTGTGTGAACTGTCTGGATGTCTAGCCGAAAATTTTGATTTTGGGAGATGTTGTACAACTAAAAGGAACGCCTGCTGAAAGACATTTTGTGGTATTGGTCATTTCCGCGGCCAAAAAGTCCATCTTAAAAAATTGTAACACCTCTGTTCCTCCCAGTCAGATGAACTGAGTTAACAAAGTACTGTTATACCGCACTGTGGAGAAGATACTCCACACTGTGATGGGGTGTCACTTTGAGAAGGTGAGGACACCTTTCCTGGACATTATGGCAGGATTGAGTTTGAGTCACTATTAAAATGTTTATTTTTTGTCTATTTTTGTTTGTGTGTACTTAAATATTTAAATTAATAAAAATAAATAAACTATAATAAATCAAATGAGAGACACCTGGATACACAATAGAATAGAGACAGAAGATCCCAGAATGTAGCTCCTTTAACCGCAGTGCACCAAACAATACAACAATTAAAATCCCAGTGATTAAAAAATGAATGTAGACATGTGAATGATGGTGTTGAAAAGTGGACAGTGGAGAAGGTGATTATGGTGTAAATGTCATTAATGTTGAGTTTCAATTGGTTTCAAAAATGGCAATAATCAGAAATATGAATGGTTAATTTTTAAGGGAATAGATGTTGACCAGACAATGGCATGTGCAAAACCTTTAAATAAAAATACCACTGTGGAGAGAGTTTTACCTTCAGTAGCTCCAATAGTCCTACCTTTAGCAGGCAAGTCCTTTGGCTCGTTGTCAATATCTGTTGGTGGTACATAAGCCGGACAAAGACCTGCCTTGCACTTAACACAGCCAAACTCATTTGTAAGCTAAATAATTAAATGCAAACATAGTTAAATATCACTTAGAGATGTACTTGGTATTATTTGATATATAAAAATATATTTTAACAGGTATACCTCACACTCATACTGTCCAATATCACTTTCTGTTGCATTAAGAATAGTTAGAGACAAGATGCCACTTCGAGCGTCATTCAGGATCAAGTATTTCTGCTGGTCATTTAATTCGCTGCCATTTTTTAACCACCTGTAAATTATAAAATTATCAGTACACACATAAATGCATCACTCATAACACAGACAGCTGAGCACACGTGCTGTACCTGACTCGTGGTAACGGCAGGGAGAGAGTTGAACATGTGAAGGAGATGTCTTCACCCTCTATCAGGCAAACATTTTCCAACCGACTCACAAATCTTGGTGGAGCTAAAGAATTTATTTTAAATAAATACAGACATATAAATGTTTCTTTATGTTGTTTGTCATTAAAATGAGACACACCTTGAACAACAATCTTTGCCAGAGAACCAGCACTGCCCAGAGAGTTGGTAGCATAACAGATATACTGCCCTGAGTCCTCTGGGGTGAGGCTGTCCAAAATAAGACTACATATGCCTGTCCGGTCTGTAGTAACAATGTGGTGGGGGTCATCCTCCAAAGACAAACCATCTAAAAAGCAATAGTTTATAGGAAGTATTAGATATTATAAAGTTTGATTGAAGAAATTATATAAAAGTGTCAAATGCCTTTAAGCCAGCTGATGTCTGGTTTTGGACATCCTGTGACTTTGCAGGACAGTTTGATTGTTTGTCCAATTTTAGTTGTGCAGTCTGACAGCACTGACTCAAACACAGGTGGACCTGGGAACACAGAAGACAAGCACCTTTGAGTATATTTTCCATCAAAATACAATATAAATACATACAAGTACTTTACAGAGCTGGGTGGAGTAGCTAAACATTTTACTCAAATACGAGTAAAGTAGCTTCAAAGTATTATTACTCATTAGATTTATAATTTGAAGTTAATGTAAATTGAAGGACAAAACAAAATTAGTTTTTCAAACCATACCGCATGAGATCATAATCTTGCAGTTAAAAAAATACAAATGCTACTCAAGTAGTATTACGGAGCAGGAGTAAGGATGTTGTACGAAATGTCCATAAGTTGCTCAAACAAATGTAACTGAGGACCCACCTCTGGTAGTTAAATATATGGTGGTTAGAGTATTGCATATAGTAGATACTCACAGTTAGTGGACACACTTGAGCACTGTTGCAGCTCCTTCAGGTCCTTTAGCCACGACAGTCTGACCAGAGCTGAGCGACACTGGAAAGTGTACTTCCTCATGGACCCCCTGTGCTCATGCCACAGCCCCCAAGACCTGTCATCCCCACCTACTGTCTCCTTTATTTCTACATCATTTAACTGGAACAAAATAAAACAAATCACATCACGTGACTACAGAATTAATTTGTTAAATATTTTTGGTACACCGAATATAAACAAACCTTCATTTTATTCTTAAAAATATAGGTGTCGGTATTCATACTTATGTCTTTCTTCACTTTGCACAGAACAATACATTCCCTAAAGAGGAAAACTTGTCTTTGGTGCCCCCTGGTGGTGGATTTCACTTCCGGAGTTTCTTCCCAGACAGTGATTACTCCCTGGACAGGAAAATTGCCATTGCACATAACAGAATTGGTCAGCGATGTTCTTAACCGGACCAACTGTGGTGTAAAATGTATGTATGTATCAACCTGTCTCAATGGCTCTCCAAGTGCAGTGAGAGGAGCAGGATAATTCTCAATGAGTGAAACCTGGTGCAGATTGGTAGACCTCCAAGGTAAACAGGAAACACTGGAAAAAGCATCTTCCAACATACAGCAACTTTGACCACTCTTTGCTTTGTTCTTGATCAACTCCTGTAACAAATTCACATAATTTGGTATCTTATATATAATTTTGGTCCACAATAAGTGCAAGGTGTGTAAATGTTAACCTTTAATAGGGCTTGGTACGTATGAATTCTCTCGACTGGTCTCTGGAGGAAAGTTATGACATCCATAGCAGGAACTTCCCCATGCTTACTTACTGGTAACTCCTGATGATAAAAAATAAAATAATATGTCACATTCTAACAAATCTAACAAATTGCTGTTGTTTCAATATGTTTACAGTTTATAAAATGTGCTATATAAATAAAGTGGATTGAATTGGATGTCATACTTTGAAATATTGTTGTATAGCCTTATCTGTAAGGCACGTCTCTGCTTGTGCCTGTCCTGCTATGTACTGAAGGTATTTCTCAAAGTCTTCAGAGTGTTTGATGAGTAGCATGGCGACATCATCATCAGTGACACACTTGGACAAACCCGGAAGAATTGTTCTGGTAAAATTTAATGCAAAAAGTTACATGTTTCACAATTCATGCAGTAAAAAGGCTGTGTAGGTTAGTTCCCACATAGTGCTTTGCAGGACTTACCGCTCATGAAGAGAAACAATGTCTCTGATGTTCCTGAAGATGATTTCTTTCTGGGTTAGGACATTGGAGGGAATATGTCGACTGGAGTCAATATAATTTAACTGATGCAAAGTGAATGTTCTCATCTCTTTCACAAATTCTGCTTCTCCATCAACCATGCCTTGAATTAGTTGACTGAGTACAAATAAAAACATATTCACTTTTCTGAACAGCTTTAATAATAATAAAAATAAAAAAAAACATCATCAAAACCAACCTTGAAGCTTTTCTGTACTCTTCTCCTGTTGAGTCGATTCCATCTAGATCATCTTGTGAGGGTCTCATTTGTGGGAAGGCTTCCTGAAATATAATATTGTGTAATAACAAGATGTCAGTACACAAGATTTGTTACAACAGTGACCATGTGACTAATCACAGACAGAAGTCAGTCTCACCCTTCTTTTTTTCTCCAGATATGCAGGACAGACCCATCCCTGACGAGCAGGGTTTGTTTTGGTTGGTTTGGTCCGGACCAACCATTTATCTGGGTGAACTGAGTCCAAGAGTTCAACATACTGTCCCTCTTTCAAAATAAAACTGTCTTTATTTCCACTGTTAGGAGTGCAGTCAGCTCGAGCCACATAAAGGTCAAAGGTCTGTGACAGTAAAATAAACAACTAAGATTAATTTTCATGTGAACAGAAATGTTTATGGTGAAATTGAAAATAAAATATAGTGCAAAACTAAAGGGAGAGCTGAAGGTACCTCTTTGGTGTCCTCTTCTCCTTCTGAGTCTGACCTGGACATAGTGGTGGTCTGAGGTGTGTGAGCCCGATGATGCTTGGGAGATGGGGCCCTTAATTTGCTTTCAACTTCTATAATCAAAACATCTCAAATATATTAGTAAAGACAGACACCAAGTGAATGAAAAAAAAAAATCTGTCCACCTTTGACTTTCAGTTGTTTTGAAGGCTGTGCTGTTTGTTCTTGAATATTCTGTGAGATTTTGTGTTCTACAGGCTGTGCTTTTACTTCCCTGTTGAAAAAAAAATAATCAAATTTAATTTCACATAAAACTGACTCATCTTGTGAAAGCTAATCAATATATTTTTCTGTCTCACCTTGGTTTTAGAGGTATTGTCTCTTCCGGATCCAGTATATCTGGTGCAGTCTCGTAATCTGAAGGACTTGACACTGTTGAAAATAAGAACAAGGTAAAAAAAAAAAAAAAAAAAAAAAAAAAAAAAATCTAAACTGATGAAATGTAACTCACTTGAACTGGCACTTAAAACAGTGGATCCCCTCCTCTCCTGCAGACTCCTCTTTTTGTCCTGCTCTGTTAGGTTATAGGCCTCCCAAAGAGACACTTCCACATTTTCTACATAGTTATCTGAGTCTGATATTTGGGGCTGGGGTTCAGGTTGTGTGTCCGGTTTTGGGGCAGGCAGAAGGGGAGCAATAGCTGCGAGTGGAGGGTGTACTGGCCTTTGACCCAGTGCCTGTGCGGGCTGTACAACTGTGAGATTTCCATTGTAAGAAGTCACACCAAACTTATTTACTGCTTCACATGTGTAGATACCACTGTCTATGGTAGCAACATTGTTAATTATTAAAGTTGATTCTCCATTCTGCCTAGTCTTGAAGAAGCATCTTTTCTCACTTATGATTGGCTGACTGTCCTTCAACCAGCGCACTGTGGTAGGTTTTCCTTCTATGACACAGACAAGAGTAACTGTAACACCAGTCTCTACAGTCTGATTTTTGAACACATCTTTAAAAACTGGTCGCATCTCCTTTCTGGTTTTAAAACCTTTAAATGCTGCTTGGATTTTGATGGCAGCATCTTGCATTTCAGGTTCATCTTCAATACTTAGGTCAATGTCTAGTGGCACATTCAAAGACTCCTCAATCTGTTGTCTCATAGAAGGAGTTAGGGCAGGTCTTGGTGTGGCAACATCAGTGGTATTACTAATATCTTCTTCAACTGGAAGTTCAGTCAAAGCCTCTGAGAAGGTTTCATCTTCAGAAATATAGAGAAGAGGGATTTCTTCTTTCATTTTTGATGCTGCTTGCTCGTTGTCTCTTTTCATGGGTTCAACAGCGGCCCTCCTCTCCCAAACACTTTCACCTTCTTTTCTCACTGATTCGGCACATGCTTTCACTTCAACTTCAGCTGTTCGTTTTAACTCCTGTTGAACAACTTGATTCTGTTTGATCTCTTCTCTGACCTCTTGTCTGTTTGGTTCAACAATAACTTTTGTATCTTGCTTGACTCTCTCTGACTCAGCAACCACTTTAACTTCTTCTCTCAGACTTAACTCTTTCCTCATTGGTTTTGCAGGTATTGGAATATCCTGTCTTTGCTCTGACTCATTCCTGATAGGTTTCACAGGCTGTTTGGGTACAGGCTTGGTTTGCAGTTCTGTATCTGTTACACTTACCAGCTGATTCTTCTCTGTTACCTCTGTAGCTGCCAATTGCTGTTTAATCTCAAGTTTTTCTTCCCTGTCAGCCATGAATGGTCTTACTGGTTGTGTCATGGGAAGTTCGACTTTTACCATTTGAGTCAATTGTTCATCTTGATCTGTCTCAGTATCTCTTGATGATTGTCTGTCAATGCTTCGTGATTTACTTCTTGACCTTCTGGGCACTTTTGGAGGGACTTCTTTTTCTCTTCTAATTTCGCTCACAAATTGCTCTATTAAGGGTTTGCTGGGTTCCACAATGTGTTCCATTTGATTTACAGACACCTTCTCATCAACATCATGTTGGTGTCTTGTATCAGTGTCCATTGTAGTAATTGGTTTTATTTGTTCAATAATCTCCCCAGCCCCTTTTCCAGAAGGTTTTACAGTTTCCACAGTTACTGGCTTTCCTTTTGTTCTTACTGGGGGTTTGATGTCATCCTCGTTCTTGTTCTTGTCTACATTCTGTTGTAATAGCTTTGTAATTATCAACTTTTCCTCTTCTTTCACAGTCTCCTCTTTTCTATTTCCCGCAGGTGGGCTTGGTAGATCTACACTACTTACAGATTTCTCTTGGTTTTTCACACTTTGTGAAACTCCCCGTCCTCTTTCTGGGGATACAAATGGTTCTTTCTTAGTTTCAACCATAATTTTTACTTGTTTTGCATTAACATCAATCATAACATCTTTGTCCAAATTATTTTCATGTTTCTCAGTCACAGAAACATCTGTGACTATAGACTGAGCAGGTTCTATGGTTTCTTGAGGTTGCAGTACAGTCAGTATTTCTCCTTTTTTCTCATCCTGATATTTAACAGGTGTAAAATTAGTGACTATTTCTGGAACAATTACTGTTTGGATAGTCTTTTGTTCTTCAGTATTTTGTTGTGGCTGTGGTTTTGTTGGTGGTTTTATGTCAAAGACTGGCTCTGCATCTTTTTCAGATGGTGTCATAGAAGCTCTTCTGGTCCTCTTTTTGGGTTCAGGTGGAACAGGTTTGCCTGGTGCAATGTTCTTATTGTCTGTAGTAGGAGCAGTAAGCTTTGGAGGGGGCTGTATTTTGGGAATTTCTGTTTTTGGTGGTGTTGATTTAGCTGGAAGAAGGAAATATAGATTTTTAAACTGCATAAATCCAAAACAATTTTAGTTATATTTCAAACATTGGAAATTACATCAAACTTACCTGTTATTTTTACATTTGCTGTTGTTACTGCAGTTCCTACTTGACATGTGTAACTGCCACTGTCTTCAGACTTAGCATCCTTGATTTTAAGCTCCACACAGCAGCCTGTTTGTTTTATTTCATACTTGTTATCAGCACTCAGCTGAGTCTTGTCCTTTTTCCATTGTACAAGTCCAGGCTTGGAAATTTCACAAAACAAGGACACTGTATTTCCCTGTTCAAATTCTACATGCTTAAACGCTTTTTTGAAGAAAACTGGGACTTCTGGAAAAAAATAAAAAAATAAATAAATATATATATATATATATATATATATATATATATATATATATATATATATATATATATATATACACATCATGTTAAAATGATGATTAACACAGTTTTGGATGATTGATCAATAATAATTTCCTTAAAAACAAACAAGCAAACAAACAAATACTATTGAAGAAAAGATATGATACCTTTTACATTAACATTTGCTGTGGTCTCTACACTTCCTGCCTGGCAAGTGTAGCTTCCTTTGTCCTCCAGATTCAGATCCTTGATGTTGAGATGTACAAGGCAGCCATCTTGCTTCATTTCATATTTGTCATTGCCTTTCAGCTCTTGTTTGTTCTTCTTCCACTGGACTGGTACTCCAGGTTTCGAGAGTTCACAGGACAGAGAGACTGTGCTGCCCTCCTCAGTATCAACATTTTCTATTTTTTTGCGGAAGAATGGAGCAAGTTCTACAAAACAGACATTGAGTTAAGGTAATATTTTATTTCCTATAGAGATTAAAATCATTTTTAAAAGTGTATTTCCTACCCTTAACTAGCAGTGTTGCTGTGGTTTCAGCACTTCCTGCTTGGCATGTGTAGCTACCACTGTCCTCAGGTTTGAGATCTTTGATGAGAAGTTGGTGGCTATGGTCATTTTGTTTTATGTCATATTTTTTATTGGCCCTCAGAGGTTGCCTGTTCTTTTTCCACTGCACTGAAATTCTAGGTTTAGATAGCTCACAGGACAAAGAGGCAGTATCGTCTTCTTTTGCCACCACGTCATGTAATTGTACCTTAAAGATGAGTGGGAGCTCTGTAAAAAATAGATTGGGTGTAAGAAAACTGTTTATTGTGAACAGTGTGTTTTGTGGTTTTATTAGAAGTAATTATACACACCTTTTACTGTAACAGTAGCCACAGTCTCAGCATTCCCTGTATGACAAGTGTAGCTACCACTGTCTTCAGGTTTTAAGTCTTTAATGATCAGTTGGAGGAGGCAGCCATCTAGCTTTAGTTCATACTTCTTGTTTGCTCTGAGTGGTTGTTGATTTTTCCTCCATTGCACTGATACTACAGGCTTAGACACCTCACAGCACAAAGTGACATGGTTTTCTTCTTCAGCTCTCACATTTTCCAGGCCTTTTATGAAGAATACAGGTTTTTCTGGAAAAGAAAAGCAAGTTAACAATGACTATAAAAGTATTTTTTAATTTATGTTAATAAAAAATGTGAGATACCTTTAACTGACAGTACTGCAGTGGTCTCTGTTGTGCCTGCCTGACAGGTGTAGCTACCACTGTCTTCAAGTTTAAGGTCTTTTATATTGAGGAAGAAAAGGCAGCCATCTTGTTTTATGTCATATTTCTTGTTAGCTCGCAACGGTTGCTTGTTCTTCTTCCACTGGACTGCAACACCAGGTTTAGACAGCTCACAGAGCAAAGATGCAGTTCCATCTTCTTCTATTTCCATATTCTGCAAGACCTTTTTGAAGAAAGGAGGCTGCTCTGTAGTAAGACATTAATGTAATTGTCAAAAAGTGCTGTTATATACTTTTCTTTTGACCTTTTTTGCTTGCAGCGTTTAAAGGACCACTGATGAATACCTTTTACTGCCACAGTAGCAGTTGTTTGCACACTTCCTGCATCACACATGTAGCTGCCACTATCTTCAGGTTTTAAGTCTTTAATGACTAACTGGAAGAGGCAGCCATCTTGTTTTATTTCATATTTCTTGTTTGCTCTGAGGGGTTGTTGATTCTTTCTCCATTGCACTGTTACAACAGGCTTAGACACCTCACAGCACAAGGTGACATGGCTTTCTTCTTCGGCTTTCACATTCTCCAGGCCTTTTTTGAAGAATACTGGTTTTTCTAGAAAAGAAAGACAAACAGACATACATTGTTCAATGTATGCTGATATGCCTTTCTCTTTATCTTTTTTGCTTGCAACTTTTAAAGGACCACTGATAAATACCTTTTACTGACACAGTAGCAGTAGTTTGTGTACTTCCTGCTTCACACATGTAGCTGCCACTATCTTCCAGTTTAAGATCTTTAATGTGAAGCTGAAGACAGCACCCATCTTGCTTCATTTCATACTTTCTATTGGCCCGCAGTGGTTGCTGGTTCTTATTCCACTGTGCAAAGACTCCCGCTTTAGACAGCTCGCATGACAATATGGCAGTCCCTTCCTCCTCTGCTGTCACATTTTGTAACAGAACTCTAAAGGACGGTGGGAGCTCTAGAAATTTTTCAGAAAAACAAGACAATACAGTATAAAATACAATAATACTACACTATTGATATTGTTCATATTGGACCTGTGTAATACCTTTCACTGAAAGTGTTGCAGAGGTCTCTGCATTTCCTGCTTGACATGAGTAAATACCACTGTCCTCAAGTTTTAGGTCCTTGATGTTAAGCTGAACACAGCAGCCATCTTGTTTCAATTCATATTTTTTGTTGGGCCTCAGTAGCTGCTGATTTTTCTTCCAGTGTACACAGACTCCAGGCTTGGACAGCTCACAGCTGAGAGAGGCAGTGCCATCTTCTTCTACAGTCACATTTTGTAACTGAATTTTGAAAAAAACTGGGAACTCTAGACAGACAAAAACAAGGTTACAATCTCAATCTATGTGTATCACTATGATTATAAGAGAAGAAAGAGTAAGATTAAGAGTAATATACCTTTAACCAAAAGTCTAGCAGTGGTCTCTACACTACCAGTTTGACAAGTGTAACTGTCACTGTCATCAGACCTGAGATCCTTGATGTTTAGATACAGAAGGCAGCCATCTTGTTTTATTTCATACTTCCTGTTGGCTCTCAGAGGCTGTGTGTTCTTCTTCCATTGTACAGAGACCCCAGGCTTAGACAGCTCACAGCATAATGATGCTGAGCCCTCTTCTTGTGCTTCCACATTTTGTAAAACTTTCTTGAAGAATAAAGGAAGTTCTGTGGAGTAGATATAAAATATTGTATTAAATTAATATCAACCTGAACCTATAATATAGAGAACACATATGTGAAACAGGCTCAGTTAATTACCTTTGACAGACAATGTAGCAGAAGTCTCTATGTTTCCAAACTGACATGTGTAGCTGCCACTGTCTTCAAGCTTAAGGTCTCTTATTTTGAGCTCATGGTAGCATCCATTTTGTTTAATTTCAAACTTATTGTCGGCTTTCAGAGGTTGTGTATTTCTTTTCCATTGCGCCAACAGTCCAGGTTTGGAAAGTTCACAACAAAATGTGATAAGGTCTCCTTCCTCTGCTTCAGTACAATGTAACTTCTTTGTGAAAAATGGTGATTGTTCTGGCGATAAAGGAAATGGGTTAAATTATCAGTAAAGCACTAACATTTGTCTACAACACAGTTTTGAACTGTCATTAATGCATACCTCTTACATATAACATTGAGGTAGTCTCTGCACTTCCTACATGACAAGAGTAGCTGGCACTGTCTTCAAGTTTAAGATCAGTAATGCAGAGATGAAGAAGATAACCATCTTGTTTGATTTCATATTTTCTGCTTGCTCTTAATGGCAGCTTGTTCTTTTTCCATTGAGCAGAAACCCCACATTTAGACACTTTACATTGAAAGGTGGCAGAAAATCCTTCCTCAGCCTCTGTGCTTTGAAGGTCCTCCGTGAAGTAAGGTAGCACCTCTGATAAATATATGTCAAAATTAGAAGTTTACGACAACTAAATAAATATTCAGAATGCAGGTCATCACATCATACCATTAACTGTCAGAGTTGCTGTTGTTTCTGCGCCCGCCACTAGGCATGTGTATCTCCCAGCATCTTCCAGATCAAGATCGTTAATATTAAGCTGAACAAGACAGCCATCTTGAATCATCTCATATTTCTTGCTTGCTCTCAGTGTCAGCTTATTCTTCCTCCATTGCACTATGTCAGGCTTGGAAAGCTGACAACAGAGAGAGACTGTGCCTCCCTCTTTTGCTGTGACACTCCCCAATTCTTTCAAAAATGGAGGGAGCTCTAAAAAGAGTAAATTGTAAAATAGTAAAAATATTTTAACAATTACAAAAAGTAGAATACACACCTTTGATTGTCAGTTTTGCAGTTGTTTCAACAGTTCCTGCTTGGCATGTGTAGTTGCCTCTGTCCTCCAGTTTTAGATTTTTGATAAGAAGCTGTACAAGGCAACCATCTTGCTTCATTTCATACTTGCTACTGGCTCTAAGTTGTTGTCTGTTCTTCTTCCACTGGACTGGCACTCCAGGCTTTGACAGTTCACAGAACAAAGAAGCTGAGCCTCCTTCCTCAGCCACAACATTGCGGAGCTCTTCCACAAAGACTGACACAATCTCTAGAATAATATATCACATAATCATATGTCCAAAATTACTTATTACATAGTTTATTTATCTAATGTAATTACAGACCTTTGACAGACAGTTTCGCTGTGGTCTCGGCATTTCCAGCTTGACAGATGTAGCTGCCACTGTCCTCAGGTTTAACATCTTTGATGAGAAGCTGATGGTAGCATCCATCTTCTTTCAGTTCATATTTTCTACTGGCTCTTAACAATGTGCTGTTCTTTTTCCATTGCACTGATACTCCAGGCTTAGACAGTTCACAGAACAGGGTGGCAGTCCCTTCCTCTTCAGCCTCAACATTCTGTAAATCACTCTTGAAGAACAATGGACGTTCTGTAAAAAGATAATTGGGGAAAAACATTATGAAGTGGTGCTCACAACTGGCCAATGACAAAATGTGATTGATGTATTTTTTGTTTATCAAAGACCTACCTTTCACCGAGAGAGTTGCAGTGGTCTCAATGTTTCCCACTTGACATGTGTAGGTTCCACTGTCTTCCAGATTAAGATCCTTGATATGGAAATAGAGATGACATCCATCTTGTTCAGTTTCATACTTTCTACTGGATTTTAATGGTAGTCGATTCTTCTTCCATTGCACTGTAGTAACTGGCTTAGACAATTCACAATATAGAGAAGCTATATGTTCCTCTTCAGCCTCAACATTTCGTAATTCCACTTTGAAGAAGGGGGGCAGTTCTGGAAAAATGTTTGAACTGAATCAAAACTAAACAGTTCAATATAAAACACTGTATACTACAAGTAAAATGACTTGTAAATTGTAAAAGACCAATTTATTTAAAAGCAAACCTTTGACTGAAAGTGTAGCTGTTGTCTCTGTATTTCCTACTTGACACGTGTAGCTTCCTTTGTCTTCAGGTGTTACATCTTTAATCTCTAGTACAGCACAGTTGCCATTCTGGGTCATTTCATATTTTCTGCTGGCTCTGAGTGTGAGGCGGTTCTTCCTCCACTGGACCTGTGCTCCTGGTCTGGATAACTCGCACTGCAAGAAGGCAACACCTCCTTCATTTGCCTCAATGTTTCGTAAGGGTTTCTTAAAGAATGGAGGAGGCTCTGTGAATCCAGCCAAGGACATACAATTAGTAGGTATGCATTCATCAGACATAAAGGAAGTCCAGAAATGTATATGACCAAACCTTTTACTGTGACAGTAGTTATGGTCTCTGCATTTCCTGCCTGACAGCTGTAGCTGCCACTGTCCTCAAGTTTAAGATCCTTGATTATAAGTTGGAGGAAACAGCCGTCTTGTTTGATATCATACTTTCTACTGGCCCTAATTGGTTGCCTATCCTTGTTCCACTGTATGGGTACTCCAAGTTTAGATAATTCGCAGTACAAGGAGGCAGTTTCTCCTTCCTCAGCCTCAACACTTTGCAAGTCCTCTTGGAAGAATGGTGGAAGTTCTGGGAAATAAATGGAAAACACAGTTTAGTATAAGGTGTATGTTATAAACATGATAATGGCTATTGTTCTTACCTGTCACTGTAAGTTTTGCACTACTCTGTACGTCCCCTGTATCACATGAGTAGGAACCAGTATCCAGAGGATCCACATCATAAATGAGCAGTATGTTGACTTTACCCTCTTTATATATCTTGTATTTCTCACTGTTATGGAGGGGAATATGGTTACGCCTCCATGTAACTTGGGTGGTCAAATCAGAGGTCTTGCAGGACAATGTTGCTATTTCTCCTTCTAAGGCTGAAACATCTTTTGGCTTCTCCTCAAATAAAACTTATAAAGAATATAGAGTTAGCATCTTCAGACAGTCCAACAGTCTTGTTTGGTGTGTTACATTTCATACCTTTTGGCTTAGGAATGACTAAAAGTTGAGCTGATGTCCTCTCTTCCCCAATAACAAAGGCCACTGTGCCAGTCTCCTCAGGGGTAGTCATTAAAAGAACCAGTCGGTGTTGTCGGCCATTACAGATCATCTGGTTCATCTCATTTTTCTGCAGTGGGGATGGCCCCAACCACCAGACTCCCTCACTCACATCTGCATGGCTGAGCTCACACACAAATACAGCATCTTGTCCTGCTGTCAATGTTACATCTTTTAGCCCAGTAACAATCCTCACACGCTCTATGAGAGAAGGAGAAATTAACAACTTTATTAATCAGAAAAACTTATTAAATTACTAGTATATCTGCTTTTTGACACAGGAGTCTTCCTTTTGCCCCTTAAGACATCCTGTAAAGACAAAATTGTACCCACCTCTCACAACCAGTTTGGCTGTAGTCTTTTTACCCCTGGTAATACAAGAATAATCTCCACCATCTTTAAGTTCCAAATGCTTGATCTCAAGTGAATGTGTGGGACCTTTCTTCTTGATAATGAATTGACTACCATGTTCAATTGTGCTGTTGTCCTTTTTCCAAGTGACAGGGACATTAGCACTGGAAACCTCACAGGAAAATATTACAGATTTGCCTTCCATTATTGCCTGGTCCTGCAGTTCTTTTTCAAAGAACACAGAGGCTGCAGCTAAAAAAAGAAAAAAAAGTTGTCAGCATACAATGAATAAATTAATAAATGCAGATGTACTATCTTGAGTACCTCTCACATTAACCTCAGCTGTTGTTTTCTGCTCTCCAAAAATACAACTGTACTCGCCAACATCCTCTGGCTGGATATTTCTGATTTTCATCTCTGCAATCTTTCCAGAGAGACTCATCTGGAATCTACCTCCATGATAAATCTGGTCCTCTCCTTTCCACCACTGCACAGGTACCCCAGCCCTGGACAGCTCACAGTGAAGGACAACATTTGCTCCTTCAGCTGCCTCCTGATTCTTGAGTCCCATTTTAAACACCAGAGGAATAGCTGCATAAAATAATTATAACATATTTTACTTTGTGTCATTAGATCAAAACTAACTATATTTTTTTCTTACGTGTGATAGTGATGTTGGCTGTTGTCTTAGTATCTCCATAGACACAACTGTAGAGACCACTGTCATCCAGCTGTGAATTTTTTATGATAAGCTCCTTGATGCTTTCTCGGTTTTTGATCTGATATTTAAAATTACTTTTCAGAACTTCTTCCCCTTTCCTCCATTCCACATTAAGACCAGGTTTGGATAGCTCACAACTCAGAGTTAAGTTGTTCTCCTCCTCCACCTGTTGGTTCCTTAACTTTGTCTTGAATGTAACTGGAGGTGCTACAACAACAAGAACAGTGTTAGCTGCATTTCTTTTTTACTATGTGTTATCATGGTGCATCTTACATGTAACAGTAAGCTCAGCTGCTGATTGGCTGTCCTTGGTCTTGCAGATGTACTTGCCAGCATCCTCCTCCTCTATGTTGTTAATAATCAGCTTTGCAAGAGATCCCTGCCATTTCATCTCATATTTGTACCCAGGCTTCAGAACAACTCTGCCTTTTCTCCAGTCCACAGCAGCACCAGGTTTTGAAAGCTCACAGCACAAAACTGCACTGTCTCCTTCTTTCACCTCTAAACTCTCCAATTCTTTTTTAAATGTAACTGGTAATTCTGCAAGAAACAACCAATCAATTAAAAACTCTGAAATTCTGACACAATTGCCATGCACTTAATGCTTTACTTTGTTAATGTGTGATATTGTGTGAGTACATGTGGGACAAAGAGTGGAGTCGTCCCTATTCACAGAGAGAAAATTCAGTAATTCTCTCTGTGAACAGGGGCAACTCTCCACAGGTCTGAATTGTAATGTAGCATAGTGCTATAACCTGCTTGTCTCCCTTAGGTAGGTTTAATCTATACTGTGGAACATTTTAAAAAGCAATTCTAAAAGCAATGACATTTCCATGGAGACATCAAGCGGCAAACTAGACTCTAGAAATGTTCTGCAGTGTACCTTTAATTTCTCTGTACATTGTCTCTTCAAATAAAGACTAAACTAAACCTTTCTTTTAACTAAAATTATGTTGACACCTACCTCTTACTTTGATCTCAGCAGTAGTCACAACATTGTCAATAGAACAACTGTACTCCCCAGCATCTTTTAGTGTTAAATCATTGATCACCATCTCAGCCACTCTTCCCTCCTGTTTCATTTGATACTTTTGCCCACTGATCAGGAGTTGAGCCTCTTTCCGCCACTCCACCGGGACTCCTGACTTGGAGAGCTCACAGCGTAAAGTCACACTGCCCTCCTCCACCGCTTCCTGGTTCTTTAACTTCTGTTTAAATGCCACTGGAATAGCTAAACAAAAAAAATTGTAAATGAAATGTACTGCAATATTATAGCCATGTTTTAATTGATAAATATAATAATGTTTTTAGTACCTGTGATTAAGACATTTGCTGTTGATTTAATGTCCTCACAAACACAGCTGTACAGGCCACTGTCAGCTGGTTGACTTTTCTTGATAAAAAGTTCTGCTTTGCAGCCATTTTGCTTAATTTGATACTTTTCTCCATTTGTTAGCTCAGTATCTCCTTTCATCCATTGTACAAAGAAATCAGGTTTGGACAGCTGACAGCACAGAGTCACGCCATTTCCTTCCTGCATCTCAATATTCTTCAATTCTTGGAGGAATTTGACCGGACGCTCTAGAGGGATCATAAAATGTGAGAAATGTGATTTTCTGTATGGTAGGAGAATATCCAGATATGTACAGGGCAGGTGAACATCATACTTTGCCAGCTAAATAGTTGACTGGATGCTTTGTTTAATCATAGCAGAATCAAGTTTGTGCTACTTAACAAAAAAGTAATTGACATTTGTGATTCAGTAAACGCAGCCATCTACAACATTTCTAGTAAATAAATATTGTTAATGTCAAAACTACTACTTATTGCAGCCTCACAGGGTAGTCGATAGGGCGGGACAAAGGGGACTGTTGTCCCAGGCCCCAGGGTCTTAGGGACCCAGAATTGGACCCTCTTCCTATTAATTTATATTAGATGGTGCCCATGTGAGCCTTCTCATCCCAAGCCCATAAATTTTACTCACACACTACTCTCACCATTGACTCTGATTGTTGCAGTTGTTCTCTGATCACCACATATGCAGGTATATTCTCCTCCATCATCAATATCAATTTTCATTATCTTCAGTTCCAAAAACAGCTCTTTCTTTCTCATCTGATACTTGTCTCCATTCCGAAGGAGTTCACCCTGTCTCCTCCACTCCACTGAGGAGGCCAGTTTATTCAGCTCACAGTGCAGAACCACACTGTTGCCCTCCATCACTTCTTGGTTACGTATAGGTGTTTTAAAGCTTGGAGGGGTGTCTGCAGGTCACCAGGAGAAATGTTATGTTTTTGTTGTAATAATTCAAATACTACAAAGTACTAAAACAGTCTAGAGATGTTCTGCTGGGAATGATGCGTACTGCACATTTCCAGACTACTTTAGTATTTACAGGGTGAATGAGGTCCTCCACATACATATGTTAACAAGCATGTTGTACCTGATTATTGCAATGAGGTTTACAGATTAATTATACTGATTTGGGGAGGAGCAAGCAATGTGACCTACAGTACACATGTATAATCAATATTTGACTGATAATGAAAATAATGGATTGTTTTAATAATCCATTCTCTGTGTGTAAATGATGGAGGTTGTACTAAGAAATTACTTTTGTTAACATGTCTCTAATATCACTAAATAAAAATGGGGTCATAAATGGGGTTCACACTATGAGTAGAATTTAAGATTGGAGCTTTGGAGCTGACCTCTGTTACACTTGCGCTTCGCTGATACTACTGAATACATTGGGGAAAAAACATTGTAGTTACACATAATACTCATTTGGATAATACTATACAATGTACATACAGGGTAACACACACTATGCACCTTACCTCTTACAACAAGTTCAGCTGTTGTCTGACTGTCTGTAGTCTTGCATGTATAGTTGCCGGCATCACTATCTTCTATTTGGTTTATAATTAATTTTGTTATTTTCCCTTCTTGCTTCATTTCATATTTGGTGCCTGGTTTCAGGAGGACTCTGCCTTTTCTCCATTCAACTGTTGCTCCAGGTTTGGAGAGCTCACAGCTGAAAGTGCCAATGTCTCCCTCTTTCACAACAATCCTCTGAAGCTCACGTTTGAATGTTACAGGTAGAGCTAAAATATGTATGAAAAGCATTAATTAAATCCATAGACACATTATGGATAGCGATGATAGTATAGTATCTTTAGACGCTCACGCTTAACATTGAGTTCAGCAGATGTTTTTTCATCTCCAGTGATGCAGCTGTACTTTCCTCCATCTTCCAGTTGGACTTTGTCGATGGTCAACTGGACTGTTTTACCTTCTTGTTTTATCTGATACCTTCCCCGAGATACTTCCTCTGATATCAGGACTCCATTCTTCTGCCACTGCACGAGTACTCCCTTCTTTGAGAGCTCACAACGTAAAGTCACACTGCTTCCCTCCTCAATCTGCTGGTTCTTGAGAGCGACTCTGAATGTTGCAGGAATGGCTAAAATAAAATAAAAATTGTATCTACCCTTATATGGAAAATAAAAAAATTAACAGCACCTCATATATATATATCTATATCTATATCTATCTATCTATCTATCTATATATATATATGTATATATATATATATATATATATATATATATATATATATATATATATATATAGAGAGAGAGAGAGAGAGAGAGAGAGAGAGAGAGAGAGAGAGAGAGAGAGAGAGAGAGAGATAGATATAGATATAGATAGATAGATATATTTTTTTTTTCTACAGTTCTTGTAACATACCAACAACTTTGACAGTAGACTTTGTTCTTTGCTCCCTACATGTGCAAATGTAGACGCCACTGTCATCTGGTTCAGCATCTATAATAACCAGCTCATGGATTGTACCCCGTTGTTTAATTTGGTATTTTTCTTCATTCTCTAACAGTTCCCCTCCAAGACTCCACTCTACTGGGACACTTGCTTTGGAAACCTCACAGTGAAGTGTAATGTTCAATCCTTCTTCAATTTGAATATTTTTCAGCTTCTGTCTGAAGGTGATTGGCACAGCTGAAAAATATAATTCCGATATTATATCACTGAATTGTGTAACTGAGTGATTAAAAGTGAATAACTGTACCATTCACAGTAAGAGTTGCAGTAGTCTCAATGTTTTCACAAATACATGTATAGATGTCGCTGTCCTCTGGCATAACATCAAAGATTCTAAGTTCCACCAGTGCCTCCCTCTGTCTGATGTGGTATTTCTCTCCATTTCTTATGTGCTCCTCTCCTCTTCTCCTCCACTCCACAGAATGACCAGGTTTGGACAGCTCACACCGAAGAATGGCAACGTTTCCTTCTTCTATCACAACATTACGGAGCTTTTGCTTAAAAGTGATCGGAAGTGCTTAAGGAAGAAACAACAGTAGTCAACAACATCTTGTATTCCTATAGCACTTTTTAAGTTGCACAAAACAAACTTGACAATTAAAGGGCTTATATTATGCTACCTTCTGATCGATGTTATGTTCTTTCCTCATCATGAACATACCCAGAGTTGTGTTTCATTCACCCATGTTTCACACACACACACACACACACACACACACACACACACACACACACACACACACACACACACACACACACACACACACACACACACACACACACACACACACACACACACACACACACACACACACACTGTTCACAGCTGCATGCTAGCTAGCTCACTGTGTCTCAAAGCTAACAAAATGAAAGGTAAGAGGTAGCTATTAACTTGAAAACTACCACTAAATGACATTACAAGGTGGAAGAGAGCAGACAGACTAATAATAAAGGGTTAGTCATGTGTGAATGAAACAAAACACAACTCCGGATATGTCTCTGATGCGCTAACAACATTATAACATGGCTTAAAGCTCACAAGAGTCAATTCTGTGTAATATAGGATCTTTAAGTAACCATGTATTTATTTGCTGTCATTTCCTACCTATAATGTTGACAATGGCTGAGGTCCTCTGGTCAGCACACACACAGCTGTACTCCCCACTGTCTGATGGGACTGGTTTCCATATCATAAGCTCTAAAGTGGTTTCCCATTTCCTTATTTGGTGCTTAACCCCATTTCTCAAAAGCTCATCTTCTTTCCACCATTGTACTGGAACGCCAGGCTTAGACAGCTCACAGCGCAGTACAACATTTGTGCCCTCATCTGCTTGGATAGGCTTTAGGGATTGAACAAATGTAATAGGAATAGCTGGAAGAAAGCAAGAAGTTTTTATATAGTATTAAAAATTCTACAATACACAGGAAAGTAGTGCATCCTTATGGTAGCTACATATAAATGGCCAGTAAAGTCAGATAACTAGAATTATCAGATAACCTAATAATTAGTTCTGCTTTTTGGGGTGTGTTTACATTCCCAAAAGAAACTTAAAAACATAAAAACAGTTGGATTTTAGAGTAATTGTTGTATTTTGACAAAAAAAAAAAAAAAAAAAAAAGTTCCTTTAATCTTAAATATTTTCTTTTTGGCACATTAGTTTGCCCCTTGCACAATTTCCTTGTCAAAATTTGCACAGGTATGAACAATCAGAAATAATTTAAAATATCATATCAGCTACTGTAAATATAGTAACATTATGTGACTTTACCGTGGACTTTGAGGCAAGCTGAAGAGCGATGGTTGCGGCACTGGCAGGTGTATTCTCCTGAGTCTTCCGGTTTCACAGATTTGATGGTGAGGGAGTTGATGGTCTTTCTTTGTTTTATCAAAAACTTTTCACCAGACCGAATGCCCTCCAGCCCCTTCCACCAGTGAACCAAGACACCAGGCAGCGAGTACTCACATGTCAAGGTCACTGTCTCACCTTCTTTAGCCTCCATGAACATTAATGCTTGGAGGAACTCCGCTGGAATGGCTGTTAATACAACAATAGTAAGCATTTAATTCTACTAAATTCAGAGGTGGGTAGAGTAGCCAGGAACTGAACTCAAGTAAGCACTCTAGAGCAAGTACACAAAATGTCAAATAATTTAATCTGTTAATTATATTATTATTAATTAAAAAGTTATTGTCAACATAAAGCTTTTGTCACTTGTAGACTTACTCACAGTGGGAAGAGTAAGTCAAACATAGAGAACGTAAGAGAACCATTACACTGTAAAATAGAAGCAAAAGTATGTTGTCTGGAAACTGAAGAAGTCTAAGTAAACGTAATTTGGTACTACCCACCTCTGAATAAAATATTAAAGTTAGTATTAATTAGTATAGTAGTATAAATAAAAAAGTACATTACCTTTTACAGTAACAACAGCACTGGTAATAACAGAACCAGCACTGCACTCATACACTCCTGCGTCACTTGGCAAGACCTCACGGATTGTAAGTCGAGCCTCACATTCAGAGCGGCTGGCGTAGTACCTGGAAGAGCTCCACATCAAGCAGCCATCTTTGTACCACAAGATATGACATGGTTTAGATGTGACACATGACAACACTAGACCACCTCCTTCCACTGCCTCACAGTCCTCCAGTGCTTTTATTATAGTGGGTCTTCTCTCTGGTAAGACAAAGACACCACACTTAAGTTTAAATAAAGTTTGATATTGCTGAATTGCAGACAAAACACTTACCTCTAACCAGCAGTGATGCATATGACCGTTTATCACCAGCTGAGAATGATATGGTGCCAGTGTCTTTGCGGGCGAGCTGTTTGAATGTAAGCGTATGGTAACCCCCTTGAATGACTTGAATCTCATTGAGTTCATTGGTGTAAAGCAAAGTTTCATCCAAATACCACTTCACATTGATATAATCACTAGGACAGATGCGACACCGCAAAGTCACTGTACCACCTTCAAAACACTCAACATCTTCAAGTTCTTCCAAAATGGTAACTTTCTCATCTAAAAATAAAATACAATGCAGGTTTAAACACTCCTTAAATGTATTGAAATCAAGCATAACATTGACAACTGAAATAAATAACATAAACAGCATTTTTTTTTTGAAAAAATTGATATCTCAGTCTTGAACATTTGTTACAAAATAATTTTTCTTTTCATTACCATATTATTTATAACAATAGAGTTAAGGGTATTTGCTCAAGAAGTAAAGAAATATTATATTTATTTGAATTGTAATAGTAGTAAAAGCGGCTTAAATTCTAAGCCTTCCACACTTTTTTCAAATAGCACATGCACTGCAGCTCTTGTGTCTACTAATGAAACAAGAGGATTGAATTATGGACAGTGTGATGGCCACCAATATTTAAAAGCAACTAACTACATACAGATTCAAAATCTCACCTTGTACAGTAAGCTGGGCCCGGCTTTGCATAGTACCGACGTCACAAATATAAATATCTGTATCAGTCTTTTCCAGGCAGGTGATGGTCAGAGACAGTAACACACCTTTCTGTTTAATGAGATACTTTCTTCCAGCCCGCAGCTCCACCATGCCTTTGAGCCATTTCACGCGTTTGGCAGGTCGTCTTGTCTCACACTCCAAGACTGCTCTGCCCTTTTCCTCTCCACGGGTGTCTTTCAACTCCCGTGCAAATGTGTGCTGCAGTTCTATACAGAAATTATATTAGAATCAAACCAAACTTATAAACATATATTTTTTGTATTTTATTCCAATTCCATACAAGTACCTCTGATCTCAAGTTTGGCCCTTGTAGCAACTCCATCTGCCTCACAGCAGTACTCCCCAGAGTCCTTGATAGTGGTGTTAATGATTAAAAGGCGTGCCATGTTGTTTTCCACACTCATCAAATACTTAGGGCTTGGTCTCAGAAGGCGGCCATTTTTGAGCCAGTGGATTGTGACCTCTGGTTTTGTGATCTCACAGCTCAGTTCTGCATCTTCACCTGGTACTGCCTTAACATTCAACAGATCTCTAAAGATGTGCACTGGCTTCTCTATGAACAAGACAGAGAAACAAATCATACATATTCAAAATATTCTCAAATATATGTATTTTTTAAAGGTCCCATATTACGCAAAATGTTATAATGCTGTTACTTTTGTTTCATTCACACATGTTTGAGTAACCCTTTATTATTAGTTGTCTACATCTCCAGAGCTCAAAATGCTCTGTTCCACCTTGTAATGTCATATAGTGGTAGTTTTCAAGTTAACAGCTCCTTTTACCTTTAGTTCAGTTGAGAATTACAATTCCAGGATTGAAATTATCCAAATAATTTTAGTGAAGGTGTATGGAGTTTAAAAACACAGTGGAGCACTTCCTGTATTGCCATATGAGTGTTTTCTGTTTGAGAGAACAAACTAGCCTAAATATATGGGATTTGTGTGTTTAACATGTGTGAATGAAAGAAAACACAACTCCAGGTGTGATGAGGAGACTACATTATAACATAGGTCAGAAAATAGCAAAATATGGGCCCTTTAATGTTTTGAGTTCCTTACCTTTAACAAAGAACATTGTCCTACAGCTTAGGTCTTTTAATGTGAAAACCACTTCTCCAGCATCAGAAAGAATAGCATCCTTAATGGTCAGCTTGTATTTGCGGCAGTTCTGTTCAATCTGAATTCGATTGTTGTTAACCATTGTCTGACCACTGATAGTCCAACAGGGCTCATCAGGAAGATCATGTGACAGAACACATTCAAATGTACAGCTTTCTCCTTCCATTACTACAGAGGTTTTCAGGCGCTGAACAATCGATATGTGCAAATCTGGAGACCAAAAATGTGTTACCATATGTCTTATATATATTAAAACTTCACATACTGGACTACCTACCATGAACTATAAGCTTAGCTTTGGTCTTGCTAGTGCCAAGCTCACATGTGTAGTTTCCAGTATCTTCTTTACAGAGAGAGTGAATGACTAAAGTAAGGGATGTTCCAGACTGCAGGAGCTCATGTTTGTCATTGGGAGAGAGAGTCACACCATCCTTTTTCCAAACTGGACTCACTCTTTCTTTGGAAACTTCACATTGCAGACAAACCTCCCCTTGTTCTTCTCCGGATACATCTTCGAGTGACCTCAAAAACACTGCTGGACGTTCTAAAAGAAATATATTTGATAAAGGTGCACTATGAAACATTTCAGGTTGAAGATACAACAGATGCTTGTTTCCATGGAGATATTATTGCTTTGTCAAGTGTTTTAATTGCTAAAAAAATACCTTGAAAACATGCATTCCTACTATGAAAGGGGTTCTAAGATGGATGGATAACCGTAATGCCATACTCAGGGGAATAGTCCTGGGAAATAACCTCTCCATGGAGACAAACAAGTGAGAGACACTCTGCCAGAAAAGTTAGATAGTTACACCTTTAAATTAGTCTCGTAATTCTTGTGAATACTTACCTTTAACTTTGAGCAGTGTGGTCTCACACAGAGGGCCTGCTTTGAATGTGATTCTGCTCTCTTGTGGTTGAAGCTTGATAATAGAAAGGCTATGGATTGTCCCCATGGCCTGAATCTTGTTTACAGCGTTTGAAATAAGGCGAATGTTGTTCAGGAGCCATTCAACATTGCCCACAATGTAATTGAGTTCACATGAGAATCTGGCTGAACCATCCTCCTCAATCTCTACAGCTTCAAGATGTTTTACAAATTTAAGTGTTCTCACTAAAAACACAAACAAAAAACAAAAACATAAATATGATAAAATAATCATCATTTATGTAACACTTCATAATAACAATAAGTATTTTTAAAGTAGACTTAATTCATAATGAACAGCTACTAACTACTTAACTAATACCCTAAACCTAGAGCCTAACCCTAACACCTAACTACAACCCCTTAATTAAGCAGTTACAAGACCTGAATGAAGCAATGAATAATTTGTTCACTGTGAATTAAGTCTGAGGCCAATTAATGTGTAGTTCTTATATAGTGTAATGAACATTTCCTTTAAAAATGGCATAATGAACTACACATACCTTCTACCTTGACATTTCCAGCACTCTGTGCACCTCCAGCTATGCAGCGGTACTGTCCAGCATCGATAGCAGCCAGGCCATGGATAGTGAGTTCTGCCCGCTTGCCTTCTCTCTTCATGCTGTATTTGTTTGAGGTCTTTAAAGCTGTGCGTCCTTTAAACCACCGGATCACTCGAGGTGATGGGGTGAACTTACAGCTTAGGGTGACTGTGCCATTCTCTTTAGCTTCTACATCATCCAGGTGACGAGCCACCTGCAGAGGCCGCTCTGAAGAACAACATTTGAATTCAGTTCTCAACATTTTGATTACAGAAAAGGTGATATGTCAATGAATTTTGTTCTTGCCTTTCACAGTAAGCTGAGCAGTGGATTTACTCTTCCCTGCGACAAAGACCACAGGACCAGACATTGAACTGTCAGTACAGGTGAAGCAAAGACTGTGAACAGTGCCCTCTTTGCCAATGTCCACAGTTTGGCTCTGCTCAAGATCCTCTCCATTGAGCATCCATCTTGGAGGTCTTACTGATTTAATATTTGTCTCAACTTTAAACTGAGCAGGCTTTGGTTCCATCACCTCCACCGATCTCATTCCTTTCACTATAGTGATAGCCTGCTCTACAAATACAGCCAAAAAGTTACAACAGTGAACTACACAACATTAAGAAGCTTGAAATGTTAGAAAATATGGATCTCACCCTCAACAAAAAGTTGGCATGAGGTTTTGTCATCTCCTGCATCACAGGTGTAGGTATCCTCATCAGAGGAGCAAACATTGTCTATGGTCAGCTGTCTGTAGATGTCCTGACTGATGAGTTGATACTTTTTACTGGGCAGAAGTTCCCTCCCACTTTTGTACCATTTGACCTGAGCAGGTCTAGACACTTGGCACTCTAGCAAACCTCTGTGGCGATACATGGCTATTTTGACTCTTAAAGGGCGAATTATTTGAACTGGAAGTTCTACAAAAGGCATTTATTCTGCATCAGCCCTATTGAATAGCCAACAAAGCAAAAAGACATCTAAATTAACTTTTCATGAACTACCTGTTACTGTGAGAGTTGCATATGAAGACACACGCTCAGCTGTAAATCGTATCTCTCCTGCATGCTCAGGCCGAACTGACTTAAAACTGAGGATGTGGGTCTTTCCTGAAAACAGTCGAAATGTTGAAAGAACTTTATCAAACTGAGCTGTGCAAAAGATGCAATGATATCTAGCTGTTTTAACAAGCATGAAATGATTTTTTAAAATATATTATTTTAACAAAGCAAATAACAAATCTCACATACATAAATATGAATGAATAAATAAAAACATCTACCTTGATGTCTGATCTTTATGTTGTCTCCAGCTCGAATTCGGCAGTCATCTCTGTACCACCGAGCGTCCACATCCACCTGGTTTACCTCACACACAAAGCTCACCTGCTGTCGCTCCACTGTGTCAACATCCTCCAGCTCTTTGGTAATTTGAATATCTCTGGCTGGTAGAAGATAATACATCTGTCACTGGAAATGGAGTAGGCACACCAACTGATATCACAACAATGATCTTACCAATAACGCGGATTCTGCAGGATGTTTGAACACCATTTGCCTGAAATGACAGCACCCCAGCATCCGCCAGACCTACCCTGTTGAGGATGAGGGAGTGTCTTTTGCCGTGTGCGCTGATCCGACAGTGGGGCTTGGACTTGAGCTGCACCCCGTCCCGACTCCAGACACCCTCAACGTAGGCCAGGTTCAGTGATACCTCAAAGGAGCAACTTTCACATTCTGACACGTTTACATCCTGCAAACCCTTTACAACCTGCAAACGATTCTCTGGCAAACAAATACTAAAAGTCATTTTTTTCTATTATTAGGACAGTAGATAATACCAGGTTCTTTTTTCTTACTTGCAGCAGCTACTACGCCGTCAGTTTTAATGTCTGCCATGTTCTCTCTTTAGACCCAGCAATACTGTTTCCTCAGTTGTCATGGGTGCTGCAAAAAGAACTGTCGTAAATAATGTTTTGGCTGCAACAAATAACAAATACATTCTTTGGGTCAGTGTCAAGCTCAGACAAATGGAGAAGGTTCTGGCACATTGTCCCAGAGAGGTAAAAATTGGTTATTGGAAATTTAAATAATCATCAAAATTACCAAAAAGTTAGGATTCTCTTTTTACCCTTTGATAAGAAAATGATAGATATCAAATGATATAGCTAACATTTAACTAGTATTGAAATCTTGAGAGATTAAATCCTGTCACAGCATACCAGTGCAAAGGAGCCTGTAATCCTTGTGACTTCTCACTGGTGACATCAGCATTTTAAATATACTCTGAGCACTGACACAAACTTAATCACACATGCAAGCACAAATAATGGCCAAAAGATAAAAGTTAGCCAAACACCCTTCTCCATTATGACCTTAAAATACAACAAACACTTTCCTAAAAATAGCGAGGAGGATCTCATGCTGAGCAACTGTAGACCAATAGTAGGTTATCATGTTTCATTAACATGCAAAAAAAATAATAAATCACAACAACTATAGACAAATTCACAGTGGCCCCCAATTTCAAACACAGTGAAACAACAGTGACTAAAACCAGTGACAAAAGGTGCACCCACCTTAATAACGCATTCATTTTTTCAAACACATTACTGTATACTGGGTCACTGTCCAGTCACAACAATGACAAAAACAATACATCCTCAGGTTAAAATCCACTGTCAAAACAATTAGTCCAAATATTGTTCAGCCTTTAAAATAAAAACAAACCCTTTGCCAAAGGAGAGCAGATCGGGCCGTGTCACTGTCCCAAAGCAGACACTCTTACTCTTCTTTTTCAACATTGATGGAGAGTGGTGCTGAACAGCTGACATATCTCTCCCCACATACTACCCTCTAAAATAGCCTTCTGTCAGTATGAAGGCAAACATAGCATTCACAGTGATGGTGTGAGGCAACTCAGAACCACCATCAACAGTGCCATAAAAAATTTACTTTGAAGTGATTCCTGAGATGTAATGATATGCAAGTTTCACTGGGTCAGTGTAAAGTTTATACAGTAAATAAACTATTGACGGAAATATGACTTACATTTCAACATATGTAATTGTACAGGTTCACTAGGTCAAAGTCTAAAAATCTCTTTAGGGACTTTCCATCAAAAGGTCAAAAAGATTAGAATATTAAGATCATGTTTCCCTGACTCAAACGTAGTGAGAGTACACAAGATAATTCAATGAGTCTCTTTATAAATATCAATATCAATATAAAACTATGCTTATTATCCTTGTATTCATAAAACTTAGTATGATTCTCCTTATTCCTTCTGTCCCCCTGGGTTTCCCTCTGACTACAATAGAACAAAACCAGCACTGTCTGGCATTGTGTGGTGTCACTCTTGACAGACAGCTCCATGTGCCTCTGAGTGTGCTAAGTCCAGTGAAACTCTATCAACAGGATAATATGCATCACAAAAAAAAAAAAAGGAAAAACAACTTGTCACCACTAAGATGGGTTTTGTGTGGGTGGGAATTTTACTAGGCTCTCATAACTCTTATAACATGTCACATAGTACGAATGAGTAGAATGAGGCTCCATCTAGTCTTATCACAAAATCAATGTGAGTTCCACAAGTATGCAGGCCAGAGTATCATTATGAGTGCAGGCTAAATATAGAAGCATCTCAGACAAAACCACAGCAATGCAGGATGTGTTGAGACTATTTAAAACTTAACATTATGTATAAGATATATATACTGTACAACCCATCCTTTCCTAACACAGAAGCTGCAGTTGGCACAATTAAGGCTTCTTTTTATAGCGTGGACCACAATATTGAAGTTAAATGAAGATTAAATGTAGAATGCCCTTGCCTAGTTTTGGCATGTCCAATTACAGTGACAGTAATAGCCAACATCTGTTTGAAAGACCTTGACATTATTTTAAATTGTAATTATAGTATAACGTATCTTACATAATGCAACAAGACAAGGGTATTTAATTTCAATTGTTGACAAAGGTACAAAACATATAACACAGAAGAACAAGATACCTATAAAATAATTTCTTGAACTTTTATTTGCCTTTTTTTTTTGTATCTTTGCCTTTTGCAGATTTGGCAGGAGCCTCCTCCTCGTCCTGTCCTGTAGCAGCCTTAATGCGTTTCTTGCCAAGTGGAGTCTTTGCATACCAACTCTGTCAGAAGCGTCAATACAACATCAGCAAATTAAAGCAGTTGTGTTTATTGTAGATATAATATAAACAAATATGAATACTAAACCTTAAGGGCCTCTTCCTCTTCCTGAAACACTGGATCAAGTTTGGCTAACGGCTCAACAAACTCCACAGCAGTTAGTGGTCTTTTGGTTAGCTGAAGGATGCGTCTCTTTGTAATAACTGCCTGAATCACCTTAACTATGTGACCAGGAGTGTAGCCATCAGAAATTTTTGAGAGTGAACTCAGATTCAGGGCTGGGTTCAGTTGGCCTCCATGTTTCTGAATGAGCTGCTTCCAAAGAACTAGAAGAAAGAAATATACATTAAAACTACATTTATCAAAGGTTTTGGTAATTAAAACATATATATATATATATTCTTACTGATTCGAGAGCCATAGTCAGGTCGGGGAATAAGAATGATTTTGCTGTACATTTTACACAGTCCTTTTATGTCAGCACTGAGTGGATCATTGGTTGTTCCAATAATAAGCACTCGATCTTCCCCTTTGATTAACTTCAGAGACTTAGGCAAGTCTTTTTTCAATCGTTTAGGATCAAGCTGTAAACAGAAGTTGCAGTATCTTATTCACAGATTTTAAGGAAATGTCTTTCTTATTATTTCTTAGTATTTTGTCTGTTACATCTTTTTCTTCCTTTGGAACTTTTTTGTAAAACATCTTTTCTGCATCACCAATCCAAATAACAGATGGTTGTAGCAAACGTGCTACCTGTGCACAGTAGATATTAATTATGTAAAAATCACATACAACTTAAATGTATATGTTTTTCTAAATAAAGAAAACAGGAGGAATCTACCTTGAAGACCATGTGAAGCATCATTGCAAGTCCACTTTTTCCAGGGTACTTTCCTGCAGTATTGAGGGGGGACAAATCAAACAGGTTGGCCCCTGTTTCCTGACAGATAGCATGGACCAGCATCTTTTTGCCTACACCTGCTGGGCCAGCCAACAGGATGGCTTTTATCAAAGGAGCTTTTTCATGGACAAACTGAGAACCTGCGAATATTTTACAGCAAACATCATACAAATAGAGAAAATAAAATATAATGGGATGAATGCAGAGACATACCTAAAGGTAAAATAGCATATAGAGATAAAACCTGTCGCACATCGGACAATGATGGCATGGGCTCAATGTCATTTTGCCTCAGTGTAGTTCCAAGATAGCTGTAGTCACCTAAGAGTAGACAGAGACACATTTGTTTTATCGAAGAATGGTCATATTGCCAAATGAAACCAGAGGGTGGCAGCATAATCCATCTATTTTAAGGAGCACCAAAAGATAATGTGATAAATACAAAGAATAAAAAAAGGCAACAAGTGGACCCTAGGAACACTTGAGTAAGTAAAAAATGAAAAATATACTGAATATGATTATTACCTAAAAAGTCTTTGATCTTGACATAATCTGGTTGTTTCAAAATGCCCTGTTCTGCCAGCTCCTGACACAGAGAATCAAGAGTCCTACATGCATATAAGATATTTATTTGATATTATACAAATCTAAGTTACTTAACCAAGTAAGTTAAGTAACTTACCGATCAGCTGTCAGATCTTTCTCCTTTTTTTTCTTCTTTCCACTCTTAGAGCCTTTCTTTTTCTAAACAAGTTTTTAGTTATTATGATGACAATCACATTGAAATTATGCTAACTAACAGGAAAGTAGAACTGTACCTTGGCATTAGCTTTTGCTTTACCAACTTTTTCTTTATCTACAAATAACTTCCATTCAGCAAGCTCCTGTCTCATCTGCTCATCTACCTGAAAAAGACAAATGGTCACGTTTAATAGTTTCACCAGGTAATAGTATTTTTTTTTTTACTTGGAACCATTACCTGTAGTCGAATCTCTGCCTCTATTTCTTTCCTCTTTTCTTCTTTTATTAGCTCCACTTCATGCTTTTGGTTATAGTTTTTTGATTCATCACGACTTTTCCAATAATCTAGATAATAAATAATACTTAATTAAATCTACTCTGAGAAAACAGACTCAATATTTTTACATATTTACAACAGCAATGGTTGAGGTAAGAATTTTGAGTAAACATACCTTCAAACATTTTGTTACCAACAACCAAGTCAGCCAAAAAAGCTGACGGTAACATTTTTAGTCCCGCCTCCTCTTCCTAGAATTAAAAAAAAAAAAAAAAAAACATATTAAAATTTGCATTTCACACAGTTTATTCACCACAACAAGTAATTACATCTTCATCTGTCTTGCCCTTTCCCTTGTCCTTTTTTCCTTTTTCCTCTTTGCCTTTAGGCTTAGCGTTAGCTTCCTCTTCTTCCTTTGCAGCAATTTCTTCCATTAACTAAAACAGATACAGCAATTCTTTTAAATAAGCAAATATAAACTATTTATATTTTACTAAGTATATTTTACTTGTTGTGGGCTTTTTTCTACAAAAATGAGTGCTGATCCTCCATCTTCATCATCTGGGTAATCTGGAAATGTTCCTGTTGCATCTCTGTTTGAATGAATCACAAACATTTTGAATACATTTTTATCATTTTACAAAAGAGTGATCAAAATTGATGTTCTACCGGCATTCAAAGAACCACTGTCTGATTTGGTCTTTCATGGTCTGGCTAATGTCATGCCCTTCAACATCTCTCAGTTGATTGGTAATAGCTACAATGCACTTCCGATAGTCTTCCTCATGTTCATGTTGTCTTATCCGTGTATGAGCCTCATTTTCTCGAGCTGTGATTTCTGAAGGAAGTGTTGCAGAATATTTTGGATCAAGAGCCTAAAACAGAAAAAAAGAGAAAGGGATTAGCTGCATGTTTTGTTTTCTTTATATATATAAAGATACAACTCAGAAAACAAGTAAAAAAAACATCCCCATTACCATCCCCAGGAGAATCTCCTCCTGCTCTCTTTCAGTCTTTGTTCTCTTTCTTTGTAGATAGCCTTTCCAGACCTGTGGATTATTTTGACATATAAAGAAACAAATAAAGAAACAGTTTCTTGTATTAAGGTGATGACACAGTACTTTCTGAATGCAGACAGCAGCCAACTCAATGTCTGTAATTTGTGGATCCTTGTTCCTGTACATTCGGTTCATATTCCTGCTTTCTTGGTTCAACTTTGCCCTGAGTCGTCCTTGACGTGCTCTCTCCACAACTTGAATGATCTTCACAGCATCTTCCTGACTCATTTCTTTATCCATATCAAGCTTTCAAAAATGAATATAAAAATCTTTTAGTCTTTGTTGTAAATTTTCATTTTTAAAATCAGTATAAGAACTGAGATTTATCAAACGTACTTGTGGACCGTCAGTGATCTCCATGGTTTTGAGAATCTTTGCAACCATTTTTTTACGTTCTTTTACATCTTTGCTGCATTCACTTATAAAATGTCGAGGAATAGGTATCTCTAGATCGTCCTGCATTTAAAAATAGAGTCTTCACTTTGACTTCACAACCCTTTTGAAGTTTTCAAAATGTATATAAACTTACTGGTGTTAGTTTTAAATCATGTAAAACATCATCCATATAATGGTATTCAGAAAACTCTTTTTCCACCATTTCATTTTTCAACTCCAACAGTCTTCCTATTACACCATCAAGATTTGCTCGAATAACTACTCTCTTCTGTGGGTGGACCACCTGGTCATAAGCTACCTCTAGGTCTCTAAAGACTTGAAGGTAGCGCACATAGAGAACTGCAAGCCGCTGAAAAAACACTACTCTGTCTTTCTCTGGACGAAGAGGTTCTGAGGGCAGCTCTGCAGCCAGAAGCTGGGCCAACTCTGACTGGGCATCAGCCCACAACTGGTTGTATGTTCTACAAAGACAAAAGAACACTAAAGACTGAAGAACAACTGAAGTAGCAATTAATTTAACACAAACCCAGTTTTTAAAAAAGACAAACAAACAATAATCATCCAAGTCACATCGGTAAAGTAAATTTCTCTGAGTAAAATTAGAACGTTAATTCTATGGCATTAGCGTTAGCAAAAGCTCACCTACCTTTGTGACATGAGTTCGTTTAAAATCGAAAGACATAAAACCAATTACACGTGTTAAATAAAATGTCTGTTGATCTTAAACTTTACATGGGAGAAAACTTGATAGCATTTTATGCAAACTAAACTAAGCCAAGAAACAAGATCCACAAGTATCTAAGCTGCCGTGAACTAAGTTGTGCTTGACTCGTCTCCATAGCAACATCGAATCCGGAAGTAATTGGTGTAATAGGAAGACTCGTGTGAAGATTTGGCAAAAAGTAAAAAGAAAGAAAATAAATACTACTACTACCACCACCCCCACTACTACTACTACAATGATAATAATAAATACAAATAATAGTAAATAGCCTAATAACACTACTATTACTAATCATCATCATCATCATCATCATCATCATAGTGAGCCTGTGTCATTCAAAGATGATTTTTGTATGGGGCGGCTCAATGAGGAGTGCGTGCTCAAATCTTGCTGCTCGTGGGAGCGCTTTTTTGCGGTGCTTAAGGGGTCATAAGACTCGAACATCGGTGAGCTGAACAGCGGCACGCTGACAGGTCAGCAAGAAGCTTAGACCTAAAGACTCTACTCTGCCTGCATCCAACATCCAAAAGTTTTTCTCTTTGGAAACTATTTCCCCACATGTAGCTGCGTTCCCAGTCAAGGCTGATTTTCTATATATATATAAATATATATATATGTATATATATTTTTTATTTTTTTTTATTTTTTTAAATCTGGATTTCCAACACTTTTAAATGCAGCACCGCGGGAAAGTTTTCTATAACCTTATGTTAGTTTTTTCCGCGTGTGAATTTTAGAGATCGGGAACCCAAAATGTGCAAATTCCATAACAAGAACATGTATCCAACATGTCAACATTGCTTTACCACCCACTCGAAATCGATTGTATTACCTTCAAGAAGGTGGCTCCTTGTATAAATAGGGACGCATTATTTCAAGAAAGACGGTAGTGCGCGGAATCCACTGGCTATTCTCTCTTTACTGCTGGGACCACAGACAACGGCTGGACGCACTTAAGATTGTTGTCCAGTGTGCCGGACATTGGCATCTTAATCTTCTGAACAAGTAAGTTTTGTTTTTTGTTTTTTTGTTACATGTGTAAAAGAAATACCTACATTTGATTTCAGTCCTTCCCTACATTGTATGTTTTTATATTTTATTTGAGAGACATGCACTTTTGTCTTTTTTTTTCCCCCTGAATTTTTGTTTCCAAAAGGATGTGAAAAAATATCTGATGTAGGCCTCTGTACTACTGTGTAGGCTACTTCTAAATTAACTATAATTTATTTAGCGCTATTCTTTTTGCTTTCAGACATTAAAGTCATGCAGGTGAAGAAGAAATGGCATATATTGACTCTCTTCCTTTTGCTTATAACCTCGAGCCAGTGCATGGACAGCAAGGAGGTCAAGCAGAAAGAGAGACGGACCCTTTTGGACCTAATCTTACAGGTTATAAGAGATAGCCAGCAGCAGCGAGACAAAGGCGTCTCCAAACGCTGCAGCAGTGGACTTTACACTGCACCCCAAGACATGAAGTTCTCCTCCCGCGAAAAGCCTTTCTATGTTCCTAGGCTGGATAACAGTAGACTCATAGGTAAGCTGATAAGATTTATTTTTAGGTCCTGATGAGGAAAGCATAATCCCCTTTTTACAGTTAGAGACAGCTGTCATGGTATGCTACATATTTATGCCCTTGTAAATGTTGGCATACATTTTTTTTTTTTTTGACTAAATATGAATCATGACATATTGTTAAAATGAAAAGATGAAACACACATGTAACATTTAAACAATCCCTTAAAAACATGGTAGCTGTCTTTTACAGTACACATCTGGGGGAAATAAAACTCATCTATTTAAAATATTGACCTGAAATTAGGCGGCTTGGTGCTTGATTGCTTTTATTCTTTTATTGATACTGGGCTGGACAGATGATCTGTACGTAAGCATAAAACAATTGTAAGGAGGAGGAGCATCTCCTTGTGACTTATTTATTCATTCAACATTAAACATGAATGATGGATACACTGACATATACTACATATCTTCTCTTGAGAGAATCTTCAAAGGTAAATGCACCTGTAACCTACACTGCAAAACAGACAATTATTTTTTGTATTAGATTTCTATTGTCAAATACATGAAAGCCGATTCAGAGACTAAATTGCATCCATACCAGATCCCCGTAACTTTAACTGTAAAAACAAAAACAAAACAAAAAAAATACAGCTAAGCCTTATTACAATAAAGAGTCACTTGTATTGTTCTCTGGGACAATGCCTTGTTGGCATGTGCCAAGTACACGTAAGGCTGTGTTTATTGATGATTTCAGATCTTCCATCACTATCACTTATGAAGTATTAAGAGACATTGCACAGGGCTTGTACAGCTTGTCCTGCAAAAGTATTTACCCTAGCTTATGCAATTGGAAAAGTACCTTTCCCAGACCACTGGCTGGATGGAATTTATCTTTTGAGGATATTAAAAGCAGCATATTAGCAACTGGTGCGTGTGACACCACCAAAGATCCATGGTCACGCAAGGATACAGATTTGTTGAACAGAGTGGGGATGACCATCTGTAAATCTGCTGATATGTTTACACTGTGTTTGTGTTCCCCAAGAGCTACTGCTGGGACAATTAAATCCTGAGACTCTCCAACTTAAAGTAGCAATTCTGATTTATGTCTGAAGAATGAAGTTTATTGTCTTTCTTCAAGAAACAAGCTACAGTGTAGAGCTCTTCATCCCACAGACACTCTCAATGGACTATTGATATAAATTACATCAAGAAATGCACAACGAAAGATAGATGATGCCAGTGACACTATGCTACCAGTTCTGCCATAAATTACACCTAACACCTCTTGGTCTTATGTTATGCATCCTACATTTTCTAGTCTATATCTTATAATGTACATTTGTGATTATTTTTTTAATTAAGTTCAATTGGAGCAGTATGCTTTTGTTTACAGCACCTGGGGGGTAGCATATGTGTGGAATAACGATTTGCATCTGACTCGTCTTTGGCTCAATGGCTGCTTCTTTTATCCTTTATGTGCTGTTGAATACACTTCTCAGCATTACAGTGGTTAGTCCACTTTAAGAATGGTAACTACCAGTATTCTGAGGAGCAAAAACATTTTTAAAAGTATTATTATTGTTAACTAGCTGGCATTACTAATGTTTGAATAACTATCTTAGGCTGCTTGTAGGGATTCTGTCAAGGGCTTCATGATGCAGCTGTGTCACAAGTCACTGTAGTTTCTTTGCCACTTACTTGGACAGTGATGAAGGTTGCCTCACATTTGGCAAGTTGACAACATCAAAATTAATGCACACAAAGAAAAAGTTGATTGGCCACTGCAGCCCAAATATAGATACCTAGAAGGAACAGAAAATATTTTTTTGTGGAACATAACTCTGTGATTCTGACCATCTTCAGAGAATACAATGTACTCTACAATAAAAACTATTCAGTACAGGTGGACCTCTAAGCCATAAACAAGTTATAATTTGTATTGCAAATTGCAAGGTTAATTATCAAACACATGAAAGCACTCAAGCAGCCAGCCATTTTATTTCATACATGAAAGTTGTTGTTACACTTTCCTCCAGAGGATGCTCATTAGACCAATCACAGTGCAGGGCTGGGGGTGGTGACTTTCTGACAATATGCAGCATCTTACAAAGATACATATCAGGGATATTTTTGTGGATTTTTCAACCGGTCTTCCTCCTGGGATCAAGATGATGCTGTGAGACTGGTTGGTTGCCTTAACTTACAGATTCTTGTGTTTTGTTTTTTTCTTCAGAAATTGTTCCTAGAGATATAAATATGAAAGGCAAATTCATTCAACACTTTACAGGTAAGAACAATTCCTAAAACTCAGTCATAGTCATTTCACTGAGGGAAGTTGCATTGCACTGAGTTAATACTCAGTTGGCACACTTCCCATGGACCCTTGGACTGGATATTGTTTTGTTCACTTTTGAGTTTCCTTGATTTGGGCCTAAATACAGTCTAAGTCTTGAACACTGACCATGGTGTGGGTCAGCAGACGGTTTGCATGGCTAACTACAGGGCAACAGTGCAGAGAAACAGCACATGGTCTGAAGCTGACAGAGTTAAGTTGAAGGCAGTGTGAGGGTAAGCGGATTATTTGTCTCAGAACCAGTGAGTAGACTTCATTATTGGTGTGAAAATCTCGGAAGCTTAAATGTTGATGTAGAAACTCTTAGAGGTGATTATAATTAAAGACTCAATTCTTCTATTCACCAAGCTGAAGGCTTAGACTTAGACAAACTTTATTGATCCATAAGGGAAACTACTTGGACACAGTAGCTCACACATTTACAATATTATAGCAAGGAGAAAAACACAAAAAATGGTACAAAATGTAAAATATGTAGCAAAAATAAAGACAGTTAGTAAGTACACATTTTCACTATGTTTAACAAATACTGTATTTATTATCAGCTTAGAATTGATGTCACTGTGAGGTTTACCTGACGAACGTTTTTTTCTTTTAAGCAGGACCAGTCAAGTTCTCTTCGGAGTGCAGAACACATTTCCACAGACTTTATCACAACACAAGGGATTGCTCAACACCAGCATGTATGTATACTTCCACTATGTTGTTTTATCTCACCATTACACTTTAATTTGTCATGTGATCCAGAACGCTTTTATAAAATAAGTATACAATTATACAATACAATTGTGAAAACTACATCCATATTTCAGGCATTTTGCAACATTTTCCCTTAAGTAACTATGAATCAGAGTTGGAGAATTTTATTAAATCAGAGTTGGAGACTTTAAATGTGGTCATACCGGCTTGTCAAACCCTGATCCTGTCAGATCTCAGAAGCTAAGCAGGGCCTGGCCTGGGTAGTACTTGGATGGGAGACTGCTGGGAATTCCAGGTGCCACAGTGGGGGGCCATTGGCAAAAATTGTTGTTGTGTCCTTAGGCAAGACACTTCACCCACATTGCCTAGTATGAAAGTAGTGTGTACGTGAGTGATGGTGGTGGTCGGAGGGACCGATGGTGCAGATTGGCAGCCATGCTTCTGTCAGTCTACCCCAGGGCAGCTGTGTAGTAGATTACCACCACTGAGTGCTGAGTGAATGGATAATGAACTGCAAAGCACTTGGGGTATCTTGAAAGGTGCTATATAAATGCAATGATTAATTAATTAACTACAGTCTTTATTCAATTACTTTTATGTCTGGAATTTACCACATCTATATACGTTTAATGCAATACACTGGAACATCCCAAGTAAAGCAATAATATCTTCATGAAGACAAGCATGTGGTTTACACCCGTCCCACCCACAGTCAAAAAAGTTTTAAGATAGTCTGAAAACTCAAGAAAAATACAAAATGGATTTAAACAACGCATTTTCAGGAGCCTGTGATTTATTTTCATTTTTATTTATTTTCTTTTATTTATTTATTTATTTATTTATTTGAGGCATGGACAGCGCACCATTTTTACATGAACCTTTTTTTTTACAGGAGAGATGCATTGTACATCAGGTTGTAGCATCAGTGCTAATTTCCAACTGTCATCCCTGGGTAGATTCATTGATTGATTGTATTTAACTGACCTTGGCTATCAACTGTTCTTGGAGACCTATGTAGCATGTTTTTAATTTTGGGATTAATCCAAGCTTAGCAAAAAAGGTGTGAGGAACTAACTAGAAAAGTGTTGGTTAATGCTAGCTAACTTATAATTGTAATGTTATGTGAAAAGGACTTGTTTAACAGCACAAATAAGCTCTCCTGTTGTAGTTCCAGCTAAGTCAATTCTTTATGATCAGATTGTGTTAAAACAAAACTCAGATTAAAGTTGATTAACACCCTCAGGGAATGTTGTAAAGTATCAATACATGCACACTTTATGTTTATTGAAGAAAATCTGATGCTCTGTATATATATTTACTAATACAAAATAATAAAGATGTGATGTGTAATATAGTAATGCATGTTGTATATTCTACTAACTAACAATTTTATTAGTGCATTTTTGTGGGGGCCCTGCTACCTCCATTTACAAGTCTTATGATAATTTACTTTCATTTCATATTTGGGAATTACACAGGTGGTTAGGCTAACAGGTAAACAGGACAATGGTTCGCAGATACAGTGTCACACATGGGTCTGTCGCAGCCTATTTGCTTTTGAAAAGGAAAATTAAAAGACTTGGGCTCTTCTGTATTACCAACTCCATCTGTGGTGCAGTGGAAACAGACTTATGTGCTGTAGATCTGACAGTTTAGACACAAAAACAAAGATAGATGAGGATTGGATCGCATGGATTTTTTTGCTTTATGTAACTGTGGACTGAGATGACGCATGCAATTTTATGATTCATTTCTTCTGATCTTTTTCTTGGAGATGTTTAAAAACGCTCTTACAACATTTTTGTTGTTTTTTCCACATTTTTAAATTCCTCACAAATTAAAAAATTGCTGGTCTGTGTGTGTTGAAATGTGATACAATTGTGAAACTAAAACAATTTTCTTTATTGTTTTTTCAGTTTACAAAAGATGTGCAAGATTACTAACGCGGCTAGCAATGAGCCCACTCTGCATGCAATCATAGAAGTTGCATGTGAGTACATTTGTTCTTTTATACTTTTTGGTGATGTGATTTGCACTTAGCTAATTATTATATCTTTGATTCCTTGAATTTCTTTTAGCAAAATGATTAGTTAATTTTTTTACTAAGCACTGGCCAAAGTAAAGCAAACCCATTTACAAATAAACAGAGCATACGGTAAATAATTAGATCTTAGGTCAAGGAATCTCTTTGTAGTTTTTGGTCAGATTTGTTTTAATGTGTGGCCGATGTGCAATTGATGGAAACGGGTGTTGGAATAATGGGAAACGGACTTCTAGTACACTACATCTGTCCAACATTTAGTCTTAAAACATATAGCTCACTGCTGCTCTTGAACAAAACTTAACCTGAATTTAACCTTAATGCACGGCAGTTTGGCCAAGGTTCTTTTAAAACTAGATCATTTTCAGGGAAAAGGAGTATGACATAAGCAGACACTCCTTTGGCTCACTTGTTTTATATCTGAAGCATGTTACCAACTATCCTCTGAAGTGCAAAGAGTGCAAGAGTTCCTCTCATTCACTGATTATATGAACTCGGACAGAGGCTATAGATCATGTAGTAAAGACCATTTTATTTGCTTTGTACATTGTGTGTTAGCATATGTTTCTGTGTTGTGTCAGGGGAGTAACAGGCCTGTCAACTGTTTAGAAAAGCAAGTTACTGGCAGCTTACAAAAAGTTTAGCCTTGAGTTGTTGCAAAATTTGCATAATACATGAATTATGCTAATGAAATCATTTCTTAAAGGAAATGAGGAAAACATTTCATTTGGACTTAGTTTGTGTATACAAACTGGACAAACTGGAAAGAAAACCAAGCATTGTAGTTACTATGGAGCTATTGCTAATGATAACCATATATATTTGGGAGTTATATGCATTAGGTTAAAACCTGATTTAGGCCTGTTTATATCAAAGCACAATAATACATTGAAAATATTTCCTTATATAGTATCATTATTATTTTCTTAAACCTTCAGGCCAATATCTTTAATGTTTAATATAATTTGAAATTACTTACTTAGTTTTGTTATTACTCATATAAATCCCTAGTTTATTAGTTTATTTTATTATATATTATATATATATATATAATATATATATATATATATATATATATATATATATATATATATATATATATATATATATATATATATATATATATAAAAATGTGTTTCTCACCTTCCACGGTGGTAGGTCTCTCTCTCACCCTCATTCAGCTCGGGTCCTCTACCAGAGGCCTGGGAGCTTGAGAGTTCTGCGCAGTATCTTTGCTGTTCCCAGTACTGCACTTTTCTGGACTGAGATGTCCGTTGTTTTTCCCGGTATCTGTTGTAGCCACTCTTCCAGTTTGGGGGTTACAGCCCCGAGTGCTCCGATCACCACAGGCACCACTGATGCCTTTACTTTCCAGGCTCTCTCCAGCTCTTCCTTGAGCCCCTGGTATTTCTCTAGCTTCTCGTGTTCCTTTTTCCTGATATTACCATCGCTTGGTATTGCGATGTCAACCACCACGGCTCTGCTCTGTTTCTTATCCACCACCACCACAGAATGGTGATGGCGAACCAACCAGACATAGTGGTGGTATATATATATATATATATATATATATATATATATATATATATATATATATATATATATATATATATATATATATATATATATATATATATATATATATATATATATATATATTGAATTCCCGCATTGACTTTGAAATGAATGATACATTTTATTTGGTTTTTTCATACCACAAATGTAACACTTTTACTTTCATTTCAAGTTTTACTTGTTTTCAACTTCATCAGCAACATTTTAAATATAAATGCGTATGCATACTGCAATAACAATTTCTTTAAAAACTCAATCCCAAATTAATCTAAGACAGTAAACTACACTCCCACTAATCAAACAAGCAACTGGCTGCTGCAGTTCATCTCAGGGAGCCCATTTCTTTGTCACATTGTAGTAGGCTAATTCTTGCCATTACTAAAGTGAAGGGGCTGACGTACATGGAGGTGTTCAGTTTGTCAAGTGAATCTAAATGATAATGACAGATCCCGTGGATATGCTCAGGTCAGACAGATGTAGCGCTGTGGTTTTGTAGTAAGTGATTCATTTGTCACTCTGAGACATAACACTCAAGGAGAGATTAAAGGGCAACATGTAATCGCTATATTTAAACTTTTTTTATTCAGAAGGTGTCAGTGTAGATCCCTTCCTGTGCTCAGCTCCTCAAAAATTAGACACCACTCTAAAATGATAAATCATTAAAATCGTCAAATAAATATGAAATCACATTTTACTGAGGTGAGTAATAACTCCTGGTGATGAAAAGTGGTTAAAAGGTTAGAACGTTTTAATTCAGCTCAGACCAAGTGCATATTGTTGTGTCCTAGCGCAAGACACTTGAATGAATGTTGTGTGTGCGTGAGTCCTGGTCAGATGGACTGATGACTAATAAAAACAATGTAGCAATGTATAAAAAGGCTCATAAAAAAGAAATTTTGTAAAGGAACTAACTGACAAAGGATTGCATTGCAAAATCCTTCGTGTGCTCCATTTAAAACCTCTACTTGGCTGATTAGACTGAAATCCAGCTGTACAATAAAATCATTGTTGAGCATTATTATTATTTATATATATATTTTTTTTCAGATTCCATTTTACAGAAGAGGGATCAATGTGTTGCCAAGAAAAGTGCCTTCAAATCCACGACATTACTACCATTGTCCAATAGTGTTTCTATTTTCTACTTTCTGAAAATACTTGTTTTTGTGTGGATTTTTTTTATTTTATGTACCATTTAATTTTAAGATAATTTAATATTAAAACACCTATTTATTGAAAGAGTATGTACATAATATTTCAGAATCTTCAGATGTGTTTATTTTGTTTATCAAAGTTGATCATATGTGCTCGGTGGAGGGCATTTCCTGTACTTTCTGTCAATATGGACACCTCTTCCAGTATTGGGATGGTTTTGTTAAATTTTACCATGTGAGGAAGATGTCGCACTCTCTGTCAGTGTCTTAATTTCATTTTATTTGGCACTTGAGTGATTGCTGAAACTGAGAACATATGTGAAATGATTAGGGGTGGTGAAAAACCACCACTGTATTGAACAATAAAGAATATTGAAGCACAAAACATTTTCTGTTATTTAAAATGAGAGGAAAGACAGAATGAGCTTGAATAATAAAATAAATTGTTCTTTTGAGGTGGGAGGGGTGATGGATGTGGCTGCAAATGGAGCTCATGAGAAAAAAATTCAAATACTCAAAACATGAGGTTATTTCAAGGCATATCTATGAAAACAGTTGTTATCTCTTCTCTTTTGTCCACATACTTTTTCTTGATTATTTTAATAGTAACCTAAACTGCTTAACTAGGTTGTAGTATTAGAAATAAATGCTATGTGCTCAATGTATCTTTTCTGGTGCCATGCGTGTTCCTGTAAAGAGATGTCACTGTTTTGGGCTGAATGTTCCCCAGTATGACATTCATCTATCTAAGGTCTATTTTTGTTTTGAGAAACCTTGAAACACATGCATTCTTACTTTGAGTGGGCTAGCCTCTCCACAGATCTGACCTGTAACTTCGCTAGTTGGTCCACCTGCCTTGTCTGCATACAAAGAAATAATTAGCATATTTAAGTGCACTTTTAAAAATGAAACATGTAGTAATGTGAGAAATATTTAGTGGAAAAGCCCCTCTTAGTAGAATCTAAGACCATAAGGATTAAGTATCTGTTATTATTTCATTATTTAATCACTTTAAAGTGTACAGATTCCAGTACTTCCCAACTTGTGTTTTGCCACAGAGATTTTGACCACCTCTCTGATGCATGCTCCTCTGTCCCCCCTCCTCAGCAGGTGTTACTGCTTTAGAGCTATCCATTGCAAAATCTCTGGCAGCTCTTTACTCCTGTCTCTGGCAATCACACACTCAATCAGAGCTGTCAGACATCTTGGACTCTTGGACCTAACAGGATGTTGAGCAACACCAAATATACTTTGGATAAGATTTGGAAAAGCTTATCATTGTACTTGAGTAATCACATGTGGAAAGCATACTGAAGCTTTTCACTGCTCTATGGAGATTTCACTAAATAGTGTAACATTAGATTTGTAAGTGAGTAATCTGGGGTCGGTTTGCTACTTGGATGTTTTCAAGGTTCCAGAAATTGCTTTAATTCAAGTGCTCTTGTCCATGATAAAAAAGTGGTGTCATTGGTTTTTCATGATAAGGCTGCTCTCAAGTGGGTCCAGGCCAGAAGTGTTTATTTCAACAAAGAACCTCCCAAACAAACCAGACGAAATGCTTTAGATGCTACAGATGTTAAGACAGCAAAATCTGACATATCCTGTTGCAGCTTACGTGCTGGTGGTGTACTGAGTCTGCTCTTTCATTAAATTATACTTAATAGTTGTATATTTTAACAGCCATTTAAAATGATCACCACTTGTGAAAGTCACCAAACAAGCAGTATGCAACATATTTCATGTATCTTGTTCTGAGTCGAAGCCTTACCCTGGGGATTGGTAACTTGTGATTGTTTGCCATTTTTATTTTGGTGGTGAAATAAATATTGAGCTACTCACATAAGGATCCGGACAGAACATTTTGAAGAAAACATACAACAAAGCCAAAGATTACAACAGTTAAGTTCTCACGCCAGTGTGTCTCTCCAGACACTGTTAGATTGGGCCATGCATTATTCAAGTTTGAATTGTTGTGTATTTTTTATGATCATTCACAGGAGCATTTTAGTTCTCAAGGTTAAGCATTGTGTAGTTTGTGTTATGGGCTTTATTTATTTTTTTTAGTTTTTAGAAGACATAAAGTAATATTTGTGTTTATGAGAAATAAGACCACCCATATAGTTTACCTCTGTTGATTATCAACAATAATGCAACATTAACTGCTGTTAAGTTAAAGGGCCCATATTTCACTATTTTTGATCTATGTTATAATGTTTCCTCATCACAAACATACCTGGACTTGTATTTTGTTTCAGTCACACATGTTAAACACACACACCCTGCATATTTAGGATAGCTTCTTCACAACAAACAGAAAAGACTCCACATTGTGATATCATGTGGGCATAAAGGAAGTGCTCCACTGTGTTTTTACATTCCATACACGTTCACGAGAATCATATTGATAATTTCAGCCCTGGAATTGCCAATCTCTACTGAACTAAAGGTATAAGATTAAAAGGTAGTTGTTAACTACCGCTACGTGACATCATAAGGTGGAATTTTGAGCTAACATATAAATAATAAAAGGTTACTCAAACATGCGTGAATGAAACAAAACACAACTCCCTTTGATGAAGTAACAGCATTATAACATAGCTTAAAGCTCACAAGAGTCAACCTTTAAGGATTATGCACTTAAAATATACCAAGCAACTAAAAAAGGAGCAGTGGGGATCCCCTCCTCTTGGCTGGCCAGGCGGGACACAGACGGGGGACACCAGATCCTAATCTGGAGGATATGGACTTTCTGGAGACAAACAGCAAAGATTAGAAGAGGAGACAGAGGATGCACCTGGGACGACATGTGGGAGGGCCATAACACAATTACACACCAGCACCAAATCCTCTCTGGGGTCCCTCTCAGAAATAGTAGCAATAAATAGTAAACAGAGACCAAAGCCTCCTGTCACACTGCTGGCCACTGAGCTACACAACCACCCCAGTATTGTGGAAGAAAATAATGTTAACAAGAATGCTCAGAATAGTTATTTTATTAGAATACATGGACATTCCCTTGGGCTAACAGTGCTAGAACTCTAAATGTGGCTTGTTAGTACAAATAAACTAATCGAAAGACATTATGAATAACATTAAAATGTCTTGACGTACAAAAATGCTCTAATCATATTTGTGTGTACCCAAGGCCATGGTTAGGCAAACCAGTATATTTATAGAAATGCCACTAGCCCTGGTGACAGTAAAATTAGTTTTAAATAGCTGAATGTGTCTATGGCTCATGATTAATTCATAGCTTCTCTTATACGTACACAGAGTCCTATATGAGTCACCAATAAACATTTATTTCTCATTAGTAAATTGACATGAGAGACACATGTCCAATGTCAGTACTTTTGTGAAACAAAACACTACGCCATGGGTGATTTAAACATGTTATTACCCTCAGTGAGATGCCTCATTCACTCTACTATAGGATGTGGTGCTCTGGGGCAAACGTTATTCATGTTGATGGATTGACAGAGTTGTGGCTCAGCCTCTTTGATCCCGTGTGCTGGAGGGGCTGGCAAGAGGGTCCTCCACCTCCTCTGCACACCCCACACTGAGCTGTGACGCTACCGCAACTAATGGTCTCAACGCTAGCATAAGCTCAGCCTGTTGTTTTATTCTTTGTAAAATACTGAACAATTTAGTACTAATTATCTTTATTAAGAAATAAATAAATGAATTACAAATTACATACAAGTTCCTCTTGCACAGTAAAACTATTGATATAAAAGTGAAAAAAATTAAACACTGCTATAATGAAAACTACAATAAACATGGCAGTAAGAGCACTTATTTGTACATTCCTTTCTGATACATATTCTATCATCAATAGATTTGGAGTATTCCATTAGTAATTTAAATACATAGCTAACTGACTCATATTTGAGCAAGTTTTGTTTATAATAATAAATAGTAGTATTGTTTGAACTTTACATGTAAACATATAATACAACATTTGTCAATATTTTGGTCCTGTAGTATATTACAAAATACAAATCACTAATTAAAACAGAAACATGATAGTTTTTTATTATTTTTTTCCAAAAATTCAATAATGATAAAAACTAAGCAACAACACAAACTTACGCTAAAGAATTAAAGAATGGGCTCTGTGTCATTCCAGCTGACAAAAGCATCTTTCCACCTAAAAAAAAAATAAATCAAAATCAGTCAAAATAAAAAATAAGTTGACTTAGATAAGTTGCCTAAAAAGGTGAGCCAACCTGGTGCGGATACAGAGCTCTAGAGGAGGAATGAGCTCTGTGGCATCATCCATGCAGCTCAGGGTTGATCCGCCAACACCTACAAAGAAGATATGTATTGTTGTTCATTATCATGACTCTGTGCCACCTCTGCTAGCCTCTATGCTGTGGTCAAGCTAAAGCAGCTGGTCATGAGGACCAGCTCTGTCCCGGGCAGCTGCTGGACCCTGTGGGGGAGGTAGAGAGCTGAACACATGGACCACAGCTCTCACCCACTGCACCAGACTGAGGAGGAGCTGAATGACACTGTGAGTCAACCTCAGAGAAGGGAGGAGCAGGTCCTTCAACCCCACTGCTGTTTCACTGTACAACTCGTCTATGCATTAACCTTTATATAAACAATGCAACAGAAAGTCTCAAATGCAGTACTATAAAAGATTCCTCAAACATGCATGAATCAGTCAAAAGACAACTCATTATTTAACTTGAAAGACAAATCATTGTTTTCATTCCTTGTAAATATCTTTTCCAGCCTTGGCATCTATATTGCAAGGTCACATTGATTTGTATTAAGAACTGTTATGAGAAGTGACTTGTCCACTGTGGGTCTGATAGTCCCCTCCTTGAATTGTCACCTTATCGTGGTGGAGGGGTTTGAGTGCCTGAATGATCCTGGGAGCTATGTTGTCGGGGGCTTCATGCCCCTGGTAGGGTCACCCAAGGCAAACAGGTCCAGGGGGATGGGTCAGACTAAGAACGGTTCAGAGTTCTGAGTTCAATGCAGAGGCCAGCTACGTCACCCGGAATGGCGTTACCGGGGCCCCACCCTGGAGCCAGGCCTGGGGTGGGAGCTCAA